CCCCCCGCTCTCTCAACCTGTGTAAGGCGCCGCCTTTCTTGTCCAACCGAACGGATGGCGCCCGCGCTTTGCGTTGCATCTCGCTGCCCTCCCCCCTAAAAAGACTCGCACGGTGCCACCTGTCAGGGCTGTTCAGGGACATATGTCAAATCTTGCTGCTGTGGTACCTGTCAAGCCATGGTTGTTTCGTTGCCCGTGGTACTTTGTCCTCATTTGCTCCCTCCATTTTGACGCAGAGTAGAAGCCCGATTTTTTTTCTTCTTCTTCTTCTCTTTTGCGCGCGGCGCGGGCGGAACACGCCGTCGGTGTGCGCCTCGTCTGGGTACCAGAGTGACGGTATTGGTACTGGTATTGGTATTGGTATGGCGTGCATGTATGCAAGTATCCCTGGGGATTTGTAATTTTTGTTCTTCTTCTTCTTTCTTCTTCTTTTCTGGTTGTATAACTCTCTCTCGCTCTCTCTCTTCCAAGTGGGTTCGCTAAGTATACTTACGTAGTGGACGGAAAACCCCCCAAATCACCAGTAACAAAGCCGCTGGCTTGATTCCAAATAACAGCAGTGGAAGCGTGTTTCTGTGGCACACAGGCTTTTTCTCCTTTTCCCCGGTCAGTGGGCTGTCAGTCGTGGTTTCGGGAGCTACGTATGTTAGTTAGTTAGTTAGCCTCATATTGGGGAATGGATGGCGGATTCGCTAGGCTGAGCAGCCGCATGTCCGTTAGCTCAGGAACCTGGACCGTACTGTACGCTGGGTAAAGCCCAGTGGTTACTTGCTGGTGGTGCCGAATGCCTATCGGAAAAGTAGCCGTGGGTGAGTGACTTGTTGTACTGGGGCTGAGCCCCTTGTTGCCATGATTGTGAGGACACCAAGGCGGGTCCGTAAGTAACAAATCAGAGAAAAATCTCGACATGCTGAGTGGTTCGCTGGCAGATTGGCGCGGCCTTGATCGAACCAATCCCCTGCTGCTCAAGTAGTTGTAGTTCGTGCCACCCTATAGAAAACGCCACAAAGCTTGAGTGCATGACCACAGCTGTCATGCAAGAAGAAAAAAACCGTTACTTGAGGATCCGTCCCTCAGATGCTCGCTCTCAAATATTGCCGTATCCCCCAGGAAAAGGATGATGATGATGTGTCCCGACTCTCGTCACTTTGTGACGCGCTTTCCGAGCACTTGTTCCTGGCGTGACAGCGGGACCAGGTTTCTCCATACGGCAAGCCGGAAGAAGGCTGATGATCCCTGCATGCTGCTGGACCGCTTGCCGAGCGTACACATTCAATGGAGCGAACCGAAAGCCGCAAAGGGCAGAGGAAAGCAATCGAAAAAACATGGTTGTGCAAATGTCGTTCAGCGAGGGGGTGGGGCGCAGTGTGTTGATTGCGTCCACAGCATGCGTCTCGCTAGGCTGCGCGGGGCGTCGTCTCAACGCGTCACCCGTCGAGCACGAGGAATGGGAGATTTTGACAACTTCGTCACACAATATGCTGTAGCTGAACAGTGTCCGCCCCGTCCGATCGAGCTCAGGTACCGAGCCGCCTATGCTGTGGGATCAGTATGAGAATGCTGTGAACACACACCCTTTTGCGTGTGCTGCCACGCTGTGGTACGTCTCCAAGGCATTTCGCGGAATGGACATGCAAAGACTCTAGAGAGGTCACGGCAGCAGTTTAGTCATGCGAGTTTGCAGGATTCCTGGCGTGAGTGTATTGTGTGTGGGTGATTTCTCCTTGTGTTGGGGTCCGTATCGTGCAAGTGGAGGGTATGAGATACTGTGGTAATGTACCTACGCGAGTAGTAGAAGAACCATGTCGTTGATAAGAGGTCTACAATCAAGGCTCTGTTCCCTGAAGAATCGCCGTGTCCCCAGACTAGTACTATAGCCAGGACAAAGCGTTCTCTCTACCGTTCATCTTCATAGTCATCAGCGTGAACTGTGGCTAGTGCGCAGCCGGGCATAATCTGGCGGAGTCGGATATAGAGCCCGTGTCCTAACAGATGTCACTATCAGCGCTGGTCCCACAAGGCAAGTCTAGAAGGACGGCTTCATGAAACACACGTGCGTATAACAAGAAGCCTGGTCAATAAGAGCCTTCCAAGGAAGTGTCGCACAAGGTCGGCTATTGCGGTCCTGAGCTGGCAAGCTAGCCATGGTGCTCTTGTCTAAGCCACTCCCTCCATTCGCCGCTAAACCCACGCCTCGGGGGAGAGATGTTTGAATCCGGTCCAATGAGCGCACCAGCGTTCAGCGAATGGGCGGGAACCGCAAATTGTTCTGATTCTCCTCTGATTCAGATAGCGGTATTGGACTCGATATTGATAAGCGCTGGAGAATATCCGTCACGCGTGCCGAAGTGAGCAGCATTCGCCTCAACTCACAGCTGGCGCTTGCACCAAAGCAGTATCATACTGGCTGCCCAGCTTACTTGGACCATCTGCCTTCCCGCAGCGACGGGACTCTGTGTAACCAGCGGAAACAGAGAGCTTTTGCTTGCATACACCATGGTGGACTATGCATGCGCATATCCTACCCACTCTGGACCTGGGCGAGTGACCCAATGTTTCTGAAGGCATCCAGTGAGCAGCCAATGGGCAGCGGAATTTCGCACGAGTCCGTGTATGGTCTCACCAAGGCTCTATGCTTTGACCGGACGGCAGGGTGAGTTGTTCGAATCTCCCACCGCCGGCGGCGCGCAGTGACAGCGGGCTCGGCAGCGAGTATCCATGGACACCGCACATGTAGGTGCCGATTCGGCAGATTTGAAGAAGTCGGATTCCAGAAGGTACCTTGCAAAAGTGTCTGGTCCAGCAGACGTCACGGCCCGCGACAGGCAAATGCTGCAGCTTGGCCTTTGTCTCCCTTTGAGCGGTCTGTACTGAGACATTATTACCGCACTTCTCTTTGAACTGGGCCTTGCCATCAGTCCAACTGCATACCCACGCAAATTGAGACAGAGGCTTTGTTGGTGAGCGTCCGGTGAGGCGTGGAAATCAGGTGAAAAAAAAGTTGGCATTTGAAAACTTTTGCCTGGCGAAGAGGGAGTGAGTGATGAGACTTGCATCAGAAAAAAACGCCATGTCTCAACGTGAAGGAGGGGCCCATTCCTGCCACCCCACCCCCCCTCAAGAGAGAGAGAGAGAGAGAGAGAGAAATATCTCCACTTACATGGACCGAGACATATGGTTGAAACGGCCAGCGGGAGCCAGTTCCTGGGTCATATATCTCGAGTATCGCTAACGGTCGCCCCAGAACGGATATCACACACCGACAAAAAGGCCAGGCCAATGGATTGCCTTGCCGATTCCAGAGTCGCGTAGGCATCCGACATGGCAGGAAATGGACCACGTTTGCAACATCAGCCAAGAAACGTACGTGCATTTGTGCTCCCACGGGAGGCTGCAGGTAAACATTTTACCGATTCGCTCCTTCACGCCATACCAACAAGGTGCATGACAGGTGGGCCTGGTCTGCTGGGATAGCCACAGCCCAGGCGGCGGAAAGCTATGGCCAGTTCTGAAGCGCAGTCGTGTTACTCGTGCGTAGGGTAGAAACACTCGTCAGTGTTGCGGCGATCCTGGGTAACGTTGGGAGGCGGTTGCTTTCCATGGTGGACATGACAAATCGCTTTTTTATTGCCCAGCACAGCTTGTTGCGGGAGCAGGAAAGGGACTTGGAGAGGTGGCAGTATGTCGCTAACAGTGGTGCTGGATGTGCACTCGTGCTGTATCAACAGCGTGGCCCGCGTTGTTGTCACGAGTGTACGCACTCGTGAGCCGATTGGGAGTGTTTTTGATTGACGGCGGCCGGGCCTCCAGACGACGGCGATTAAACAAAGAAGCTGGGCCCGTATGTCCTGGCCAGAATGCAGGGTTCAGTGCGGGAAGAGTGTTTGACGTCTTGTGACGCCATTCCCTCGATTCATCTTGCACTCTCGCACTGTCCATGGCCCGCCATTTGCTGCCGGTAGCAGTCGTTTGGTCCAATTAGTACATCTGCCGCCCTGCAGCCTGTCAAGCCATGCAATGTGCGTCCTGGAACGAAGCACGTCCACTCACACACCGGATGTCGTCTGCCATGCGCTCGGACAAGCTTTGGCGACGCAGCTCGCCAGGGTGGCCAGTCGGCGGGCCGAAGTGAAGGTGGGTGTTGATCCGTTAAAGGCAACCATGGACAGCACAAGTACCTGTCCCTACATTTGCTGTGCATCGGTTGTCTCTCCTGGATAACCGCCCCAGCATTCTCTCGAGTGACTCAACCGCCAGCCGCCACTTCGCCCGGGTAGCACTTTGCAGTGCCTATACCCTCTTTGCATTCTGGTCTTCGCCCGCGTAATACTTCGCCGTGTCTACACTGCCATTGCATCCTGGTAATCACCACTTCTCCCAGATGGTCTCTCTACTTGGCGCCTGCTGACTGGGCATGTCAAAGTCACTGACTGGCTTGTATTGCTGCCATAGCCGAGCAAAGGCATCCGTTGGACACACCACACAAGGCCCAGCGAATCGCCACGGGACCATACCGTTTGTCGAGCGGAGCCACCTTGATATCCGAGTGGACCAACACGTAGTGCGCAGCTTCTCATCTACTCTCAAGTGCGCTGTCGACCACATCCTCACTTGGACGTAATAGGTGGGTGGAGACGGCCATGAATCCCCCGCCTTTCATTCACCCATTCTGACGCTGTGAAGGTCAGGCTGCCAACTGCGGGTGCGTTCTTGAACCACGTCCCGCACTGGGCCAGAGGCATAAGGTGCATCATCTCGTCCTCGTGAGCACTGCGCAAACGTCTGGACGACAGCCTCTTCTTTCCGTTGCAAGCCACCAAACTCCCTCTTTGCCTCCACTTGGTTCCCCGTTCCACAGCAGCTCAGCCTTGCTTTCGATCCCGGCTTTTCGCACTCTCAAGTCCCATTCCCCAGCAGGTATCGGCGAGAAGATCGAAAAAAAAACTATTTGCCCCCTTTCCACGCCATTCCACATCGCTCGGCATGAAGATAATCCAGCTGCTGAACCCGGTTTGCAGTGACCGTCATGGCCCTCGCAACCCAGAGCCGCCAACACCGTCGTCTGGCCCAGTTACAACAGCAGCAGCAGTCCCAGCTTCCAGGCGACACAAGATACCAAAATACGCACCAATATTTTCCGAAGGTAAAAAGCCCGTAGGCATAATCAACTTTCCACCCTATGAAGCGGGAAACGACAAGGAACTCGTAGCGCAGCACCGCAGGCTACAGGTCTACCCGTCGGGTGATATTGCCAAGAAGGGAGTTGGACACATCCCATACAACAGCGACAAGAAGGATTTCCTTGAGAAGACTGGACGCACGGCGTTTGAGAGTAAGGCTGAGATTTTTTTTATTTTATACTTTACCTCGGCATGACATGTGCTGACTCTGCCTGTAGTGTTCCAGTACACGTACAACGTGCCTGGTGATGAGAAAGAATATGTCGTCGTCTGGGACTATAATGTCGGTCTCGTGCGGATGACACCCTTTTTCAAATCGTGCAAGTACTCAAAGGTAGCTGTGCCGTGCTGCTACGAGTGAACAGAGTGCTGATATTTGCAGACAATACCCGCAAAGGCGTTGAGAGAGAATGCAGGGCTCAAGGACATTAGCTACAGCATTACCGGAGGCGCTTTGGTGTGTCAAGGTCAGTGAGACAAGGTTCCGTCTGTGTAGGAGCTTGCTGACAACTGCAAGGCTACTGGATGCCGTACTACGCCGCCCGAGCCATAGCCGCGACCTTTTGCTACGACATTCGGTGGGCGCTCACACCCGTCTTTGGCAACGACTTTCCCCTCCTCTGCCTGCCACCCGATGATCCTGGGTTCGGCCGGTTCGTCATTGACCCCGCCATTGTAAAGTACTGTGCCGAGGAGACGACAAGATTCCGCGAGCTGGGTCCCCTGTATGAAGTCCGCAGACCAGTCACCCCTCCTTTGCGAGTCGAGGCACCCAAGGCGCGCTCCAGACAACTGCAACTCAACGACCCCGGCGCAAAGCAACGGCGCGTACGACCGATAGATACCGAGAGCGGGTATGGCAGCGACACGGATCAAAGTGAACGATGTCTCTATTCGCCTGAGGTGTCTCCGCGCACTCGATTCACGCCAATCAATCGCCCGCTGTCTCCATTCTCTCCATACACAACAGAGCATCCACTCATGAGTTCGCCCGCTAGCATGCGTGCACCCCCAGGCTTGCTCACCCCCACGTCTGCTCCATACGTGTATCCGGGTGAAGGACGTCGGCCCAAGCGGTCTCGCTCCAAGGTGGCCTTTGGCGAGCACCCCATGAACGACACTGCCGCTCGCCCTCCGACTGCCGCAACAATTGACAGTGTCCACAGCCCTGAGATGGCCGGCGGCCGTGGTGGAAACCGCAGCCATGTCGACATGGATGCGGCGGAGATGTTGATGTCGCTGCGCACGGCGGACAACCCGATGCCACCGTTGAAGCGCGCTCGTCGCGGCTCTACGTGGTAGAAGCCACGAGCACTACTTTCCTGTTCCCAGAACACCGATGACTAATGCACGGTCAATTGTGCCTCCCTTTTCCGTCACTTGATGGCGTCTTTTTGTTTGTCCAGCGGTCATTGCTATGTAGCACACTCGTTGAGCGCTTGCACTCAGTTCAGCTTGTTTATTTCAGGGGTGAGGGCGCAGGGATTGGCGCCGGGCAGTTATAGTCATGACTCCATGTATGTTTGTGTTTGTGATATTCAGCGAAAAGAATAATGCATTGCACCAAGCTGGTATCTCTGTGTATCCAAGTCAACAAGGCCCAGCAGATATCACATGCAGAGGTAGATAGGCAAACTGATGGACGTATTCTCCAAGAATCTTTGTATTATAGCCTTGTCATGGTCATTGCATAGCTCGCCGACTTGACGTGATATGGTCTCACTTCGCTGCCTTTGCCTTGAGGCTATTAATCTTCGCTACGAAACTCTTGACAACATCTTCTTCATCGTAGATATATGTCACGCTCTCCTGTTTGATCGTCTCCGCGGCCCATTTGGAAAAGTTGGGTAATTTGTCAAAGCCTGATGCAATGGCCTGCGGAAGTGCACCATGTCTTGACAAGCTATAGATTCGAATGATGAACGGCGCGGTTATAGCCTGCCAGACTGTCAGTAGCGCTCATATTTCTTAGCTGAACACCATACCTCGGCCAGCGTGGGCTTTTCACTCCCACCGAAGAAGGGTTTTGCGTCTTTCAGGAGAGGGTCAATCTCTTTGCCTACGACGTCTATGAATTCGTTGCTGAGTTTCGCCTTCTCTTCATCCGAATCCAGCATCATTATCTTGAACAAGTAACTGCCAGCCTTGGTGTTCCACGTATCGATAAAGAAGTTAATTCTAGCGCGAGCCAAAGCAGTTTCTGGAGAACCTGATGCGGGAAGGACGTGTGAAGGATAGGCATCAGCTAGGAAGGTTGCAACAATGCTGGACTCGGTGATGATTTCATCATTGAACTTTATGGTAGGGACAAGGCCGCGCTGTAACTAACTTAGCAATGGCTCGATGCGAAGGGTCGGAAAGTGGACTTACAGGATTGATGTCCAGGTACCACTGCTCTCTTGGCTTGTCCAGATCAATAATAACCTCATCATATGGCAACCCTAGCTCCTTCACAACAATGTGCGCACGATGAGCATAAGGACAGCGGTGGTTTGTGTACAGTGTGATTTTAGGGGCGTTGCCGTTGACGTGCGCCATGATGCCGAAGTGTCGAGATGATGCGGATGCTAGCTGCCGAAATGACGGATGGTACGGAGGACTTGAGAAACACACTTGCAAGAGTAGATTTTGGTAGGACCAGATTTTAGTGAGGCCGCAGTGTCCTCTAAATAGACGTTCCTTGAAACCCATGCCTCAGTCGTGCAGCTCGGTATTAGGATTATAAATCAACACGTCTATACACCGAACTAGGATGCAGACGGACTGCGGGGGTGGATCACGCAATTCCGCGCGCGTTTGCGCGCTCAATGTCCGACCTATCGCTGTATGGTCCTTCTCGGATCGGACTTAAAAATTATGTCCTGCATGCCAGTCCACCCTTGCACAATGTAAACTTGGGTTTTGGTCGTTTACTAGGACGTCCAAGACATCATCGCAAACGATGTAGGCGGGGCATGTCCTTTCTATGAGGTGGGAATATGCGGCTGTTTGCCGCGCGTGTCGAGCACGGTACATTCCAGGGGTTGACCGATTCTACCGCGAGGTTTTGGTCCGAGGCGCGTCGTCGGATGCCTGGAACTGCCCGCCTTGTCGCCCGCCGCCTCAACAAATGACACCGTCTCCTTCGACCTTCCACTCCATGGCATTGGAATCTGCCTTCTTCTTTGCCCTGCGCTTCTCATTGCGCAAGCGCCTCTTTTCTTCAGCATCTTTTTCCAATTGCTCCTTGTTCATCGCCAGTCTTGCATCCAAATCTGTAACCTCGAGCGCCTTATCCTCTTCCCGTTTCCGCTTGAGGTACCGCAGGCGATCGCGTACTTCTTGGAGAGTGGCGCGGCGCACTTCGCCAGACTGGCCTGTCGCGATCAAATGTTGCCTGCTGTTTAGATGCTCAATGTACTGGATGTTGTCCCTGAAGTGCGGTTAGCGGAGCGACCAAGGCTGCGAGAAGAGAACGCACTTGAATGTCAAGTCGCAGGCTGCACAGTATGCGCCAGCGCCACGCCCCCTCTTTCCGACTGCTGCTGCCGCCGAGGTGAGGGTTTGCTTTCCAATCATCTTGCTCCAATCTATGCGCTCCGCTCTTGCCTCTGTCTGCTTCAGATCTTCGGGCGTCGACGCTCTCCGCCTGTATGTTCTGCCAGCCAGCTTTGCTTCATATCGCTCTCGTCCTTCCTCGCGCTCTTTTGCCTCCCTCTCCTTGGCCTTCTGGGCCATCTCCTCGCGATCCCATGTTTTCCTGAAATCCGTGTCGCCGCCCCCTGTTGTTCCGTATGCGCCTGCTTTGCCGCTCATGATGGGCGATTGCAGTGGACGCGCTCGTTGTTGTTGTGGTGGTGGTGGTAATGATCAGATGGGCCTAATATGGAGGGGATTCGGGTGCACTGTAATTTTTCTACGCGTCGCGCAGGTGGTGTTGCAGATTTAGACAAGGAAAATACGGGTGTGTAGTTGCTCTCGTGGATTTGGAGAGTGGAAGCCAGTGACTTTCCGATCTAGGGCGCACGGACTTGATCGAGCTCGGATGCATCACGGCGTATTCGCTACAATCAATGACGCAAATCCACGAAAGAGGCCACATGGTTATCGACATGTTGAAATTATCAAATTCTGATTTACTCAAGTTTCTAATGTTTACAGTTTCTCATCCTGGTTACAGTGCGACATAGGAAACCCAAAAAGAAGTACTCCTCGCTATGCTGATTCCTGGACGTGTCCATAGAGGATGAAGACATGCGTCCAGTCGCAACTCATTCCATGCCACCGCAGTCGAGCAGTGACGCTTACAGACAACCTTATCATGATGCTGAGACATTCTTCCAGGCTTTTCTGCATGTGCAACGTCTCTGTATGATGCAAACCTAGTATTGGAACTGTCCAGACCCGCGAGGGAATCCCACGTGTTGGCCTGGCGGTGCTGGAGCTGGGGGCGGTCCATGCGCTACTCTGTTGACTGCCATGCTTCCATGTGCCACGGAGCCTTCTCTGTCTCGCCGCTTCTTCTTCTTTTCCTTGACGCCATAACCTACATCTGTGTAGCCTGCAGCGGCAAAAGGCGGCTCCACCACCTGTCGGGAATTGTCATCTGGCAGCCTGAGGTCAACGAGGCTGTAGAAGTAATCCAGGACTTCTGGGTAGCGAAGAACCGATGCTCTCCAGTCGGCGTCGATGCCGCGCTTGAGATCTGCGTGGGCCTCGGAAATCTGTTGCTGGAGCGTCGCGATGTACATGGGGTGCAGTGGCGGATGACCCGAGTAGCGCATGTAAATTTCGTAGTGTGGGAGAGAGGAGAGGTATGTCATGTGTGCCTGCTTGCGAGTTGACGTCAAGCGCTCAAAGGCATTCAGGATATGGCGGCGCGCATGGTTGATGACCCAGTCTCTAGAGGTGCCGTCAGTATGGGTTTTGGGGAGAGCACAGCACGCGCCTCACCGTATCTCGGCCAGGCGGTCGTCCATGGCACGCTGCTCGGCCTGCTTGACGGCAATTTGCAGGCGCTCCGACTCGCAGGAGCATTCGGGGTAGGGAGGCGCATTGCAGATGGCGCAGTTGGGGGCGGCGTCCGTTTCATACATGGCGAATGTGTGAGGCAGCACTGATCATGGTCGGTCCACAGTGGGCCGTATGCAAGTCCAAGGTGGTTTGGGGCTCGGTGTGGGGTGGACAGAAGGAGGCTCTGGCGTGGAGTGAGGTCGGTTTTAAGACCGTCTGGAGGCGGATCCTCGGGCTTGGATAGTCAGGCACAGGCGGTGACGACTGACAAGTGACATGTTACATGACGAGCCCTGTGGAGGCCGGCGGCGTGATTTGGCTAGATTCGTGCGGCTTATGGGTGGGTGGATGGATTGGGCAGACTTGGGAACTCGCCAGCCATACGCCATGGCTGAGGCTGCGAACGGCGCTGACAAACTCCCCCACTTTGGCTGCACCCCCCCCCCAGCCCACGAGGTTCCACCAGCCCAGCCGTGACTGGCAGCTGGACAGCGAGCATCTACAGATGTAGCGCGACGTGCATACAAGTTGGCAGATGGTTCGGCGAAGGCGATGGGGAGGGTCGCAATGGGAAACCTGCCCGAAATGCGGTGCGGAGGATGCGAGTGCGAGCATGTGAATCCGCTAGTCGCCGCTGCAACACGCCTATACATAAGAGTGCAGACTGCGACGCCTGCAGGCCGCACCTACATGCGTACATCAAACGGTCAAGTTCTGCAAGCAAGGCGCCGTTCCTTTGGGGGGAGGGGGCGAATGCGAGTGTCGTGTCAAGAGAAGGGCAGACGAGGACGAGGACGAGGACGAGGACGAGGACGAGCAAGGAGCGGTGTCGGCCCGCGACCCTTGGTCACGTGCACAGCCAGCCGACGCCGTCGTGTCCACACGGTGCGAGCCGTCCTACCGACCCATCGAGCGAAGCCAGATGAACCGCCTCATAAATACACCTTGCAGCACCGCGCAGACGGCCTGGCCAGCAGCGTGTCACGCAGCCACAGGAAGAGCTGCAAAGTCACATGGCCGCCGCTCGGGACCGAAGACACCATCTCGACACTAGGACGTGCCTCTGCCAGCGCAGTCCCAGATGCTCATCTCCCGCCCATCCGCCCGTGACATCACCCGAGTGCCGTGGAAGAGCATGCATGCACAGGACGGTGGTGTGGAGGAGGAGGTGGTGGTGGTGTTGGGTAGAAACGAAACAAAAAAAACCATAAGTCGCATGCCCGCGGCGTCGTCCTGGGACATGGTTGACGTCGACAGGGACGTCGTCGAGGGGCCGGCAAGACTGCGAGCGGGCGGAAGCGGGGTAACGTCGCTGAGGCCATCAGCACCAGCACCCGCACCAGCACCAGCACCAGCACCTGACACTGCACACTACCCTCCGACTCGGCTCTCCGTCGCCCCCCAGACGCTGAGGCTCATTATCCTCCCCTCGTCGGCACCTCTCCATCGGCGCTACCTCCTGCTGCTGAAGACGCAATTCGCCTTGGCGCACGCCGGCCCTGCTGGTCGAGCCGATCTTAGCGATTCTGCCAACTCATAACGCACCGATGCCGCCCCCAAAGTGAATGAGTCAGCCGCCGCCTGCGCCTGCTTGTCTCGTCTCGTCCCTTCCTCTCTGCTCTGCGTGCGAAATATGCGCCGCACAGACTGCGCCCTTCCGTTCGACATGCGTCTGCATCGGGCTTAGCGCGTCTACAATGCATCTGCCCATGCCTCCCACTATGAGTCCCAGCCATGAAAGCCTACTTAGCAGCCATCGCCCCTCAACGACAGCTTGCGAGTTATCGTCAGATTCGTCCAAAGGGCGTGCATTTGCTCCTTCGCCCATCGCTGGCCATTGGGCATCCTCCCGTTGCATACAGCGTCTGGCTGCAACATCACGCCCGCCATCATGGCCATCCGCGACGCCGCCTTCGACATGGCCGACTTTGTCGATTTCGGAGACACTAGCATACCCGGCCTGTCACACGGCACTGGCCTCAGTCTAATAGAGCCGGAATTGGCCCAAAGGTGTGTGCCCTGATCATCGTGCCCTAGTCACCCGGCCCAGCTTGAAACCCAGGCACTCGGGAACTGATATACAGGGCATGGCTTGCTTTTCCTGATTCTAACATGGTCCAGCCACACATTGGCGGGTGAGGACCCTGTGCAAGCTGCCGAGGCCCCATCCACCGACATCGACTTCAACACGGACTTCAGTACTTGGCTGCCAACGTATCAAAAGTCGGCCCAGCCATGTGAATACTGCCGCTCCATGTCGCTGGAATGCTTCATATACAATTGCGATGGCACCAAACAGGTAGGATGCTCGCCATGCAACGCCTTGTTCCGGCCGTGCAGCTTCTCCAACCCAGAGAGGATGCCAGCAATGAAGCAGAGGACAGCCCTTGATACCTTAGACGTGGTCGCTGAAAACGACACGCGCTCTTTTGGCGGACTCACGGGGAGGAAGCAGATGCGCTCGTTGGGTCATGTTGGGCCCATGGGCGATGAGCAAGGCTCCAGGAATGCTGCTGCTGCCGCTCGCTTCCCACGAGCTGCCGTCAAGATCCTGAAAGATTGGATGTTGGCGCACATTGACCATCCATACCCAACCGAGGAAGAAAAGGAGATGCTGAAGCAGCAGACTGGCTTGTCGATTGGCCAGATCTCCAATTGGATGGCCAACACGCGGCGAAGGCAAAAGGCACGACCCAAGCGAAGTGCACTGCCGAGCATTCGACCCTCGACCGAGGTGATCAACATTCCCGCTGGTAAAACGTGGGAAAGCATGAGTACGTACGCCGACTCTGAGTTTAGTCGATCGCACAAGACTCTGGCGCCCAAGGCCACCGGAAGCTTCATCAACTTCCGCGTGGATCAAGGGCGTGCAGATCAAGGGCCCACACACTCAGATAGTGCCATCTCTTCTCAGATGCCACTTCTCCAGCACAAGAAATGTTTCGGTTAACTCTCGATAGATCCTTTCGAGCGATGGAAGCACTCGCCCCCCGAAAACGAACCTGCTCCTCTCAACGCTATCGCGCAGGCCGTCGAAACCTTTGACCCGCCCGATTCTACCAGCCAAAGTAGCAGCTACCGCAAGGATGTATCCAACGACAGTACTGGAAGCTTCTCTGTCTTCAGGGCGCCCTCCATCTCGTCGCTGGAGACTGGCCTCACCAAGATGTCCTCTGGCTCTCTAGGATCCCGCGAATCGGCTTATTCATATGGTTCCCGGCACTCGCTCGGCTCCATGAACAGTCTCAAGTCCAAGGAGAGGCGTAGGCGTCGGCGACTTCCTACCCGAGGCCCGAAAGCCAGTCCTGATGAAGGGCAGAGGATGTTTCAGTGCACCTTTTGCACTGATACTTTCAAATCCAAGTACGATTGGTATGTAGTTTTGCCTTGTCATCTGAATCCAGACAATATGTTATTCAAGAATGCTTGGGGCTGCATTATAACTACATTTGTTTAGAGTCTGGAGATCCCCCACTGACGCATTGCAGGTCTCGCCACGAGAAAAGTCTCCACCTATCCCTTGAGAAGTGGCTGTGCGCACCTCTGGGAGAGATTGTCGCTGACAAGGCTACTGGAAAGCCCAAATGCGTCTACTGCGACGAGTTGGATCCCAGCAGTGAGCATCTGGCGACTCACAACCACACTGCTTGTTACGAAAAGGGACCCGAATCGCGAACCTTTTACCGGAAAGACCATCTTCGACAACACCTGCGGCTGATGCATGGCTGCAAGATGACCGCAAGCATGGAGACTTGGAAGTCTGAAGCGCAATACATCAAGTCTCGTTGCGGATTTTGCGGCATGATCTTTGACAAGTGGCAGGATCGCGTCGACCACCTTGCAAAGGAGTTCCGGAATGGAGCCAACATGAAGAACTGGAAAGGTTGCCGTGGCCTTGATCCCCATGTAGCTATACACGTAACCAATGCGATGCCACCGTACCTCATTGCCAACGAGAGCAAGTCGCCTTTTCCATTCTCTGCAAGCAACTCGTCAACCCTCAAGGTATGTACTGCCGTCTTGGACACGCGAGATTATTTTGAGGTCAATAAAACTGCTGTCCTGTATAGCTCGCCGCTAACCATCATCAGCAGCTCAACCTGTCGCTCGAAAGCCGAGACCTTGAGTACCTCTTGCCCAACAACCCGACTGCGGACTTATCCATCGCGCACCCAGATGGAGTAAACTCGTCGGAAATTGGACCCATTATCCTGACCACCCCTGAGGACTATTTGAATTCTGGGCAGCAAGATCATAACCCGAATGCTACATGTTGGGAGATCCTCACCCTGCGACTTGGACGCTTTGCACGAGAGTATATCGAGAAGCATGGCGCTGGGTCTCTGACTGATGAAATGTTGCAAGTGGAATCACGGCGTATCCTATATAGTGATGATGATCCCTGGAACCAGACTGCTGCCGATAATCCCGAGTGGCTCAATCTTTTCAAGAAAGCACACGGCATCGACTCCAAGGCGCCAGTAAAAGGTACGGGCTGTGTACTCGTTTTCTACTCACATACTGATCTGTGGCAGGTATCAACTCACAACAAGACGTGTTCGAGGACCTGGGGCTCCATTCAGGTGCCGTTGTTGATTCGAGCTTCAACGTCAACAACTTTTCCTGCGAAGATTTGCCCGAAAACGACCCACTGCGAGCACTCTCGTTTGAATGCTCACTCTCGGGCTCACTGGGTCACATACAAGGCCATGCGCGCCAACTTTCGTCTGGCCGCCAAACGCCATACAGTGTACCCGGACTGAGCGGGTCACCAACGTCGCCGGCTTCGTGTGCACCCGCAACAACAGCAACTGCAGACAAGCTGATGGGCGTCTACGAGCCCATCTCAGAACTTGCATGCCCGTCGGCAAAAGGCGGACCCTGCTACGGCGAAAACGGCGAACTCGGCTTCTCCACTACAAAGGCCGGCTCGCAAAAGAAGCGGTACTGGCTCAACGCTGCAAACAAACACATGTCGCCTCTGTACTCTACCACCAACGACCAGCAGCAGCAGCAGCCGGTATACGAGTGCCCAACCGTTGGTCTCCGCTCCTTTGACGACCTGGCCACACAGCCCTGCACTGCTGCAAGCGACGCTCCCACCACCACCACCACCACCGCCGACTTCCAGTTTCCCTCCTGGGACCAGTTACCCGAGGACCTGCAGAACCCGACCAGCAGCGCCGAATACCGTCACGCTGGCATCAGTGCGCCTTCGGCTGCCGACACGCTGTCGATGCCGTGGGACGACACTATGGATTTTGCCATGGACATGGACATGGATATGGATCTGGATTTGGATTTGGCCGTCGATCTGAATCACGTCTGAGATGATACAAAACCCTAAATATCTGTCGTATGCTTGGGGAAAATAAAAGTTTTGGATCTCTTATCGTAGGGGCTTCTTTTTTTTTGAGATGAGGATGGAGATGGAGATGGAGAAGTAATGCTCAAATGGTTTCAATGTCCTGTATGTTATGTTATGCTATGTCATGTCATGTCATGTCCTAATCATGTAGGACCCGCTGGTACTTAATGCCATAATATATCATCCTGCCATGTCTCTCGATTGCACCATTTATCATAATGAACATACCAATACCACGATACAATCTTTACATGATCGCTGACGCTAAGATTATCTTCTGTGCAAATTGGCGCGTTGAAATGGCATCACAGCCACACGACTGTGTGAAAATCTCGACACTCGAGTGGCGAGGATACAACGGGGAAACTGCAATAGGACTTTGTGTGTGGGGACTTGGATAGAAAAACAGGGTTGCAAAATGTGGTGGTTTGTAAGAACATGTCATATGATCAGAGACATTTAAGTGTGTGTGTGTGTGTGTGTGAGAGAGAGAGAGAGAGAGAAAAAAGACCACGAGATAGGTCGGATAATGGCATTTATTCGTTACACTTTTGCACAAAACTCTACTTGGAAGATGTTTTTTTTCAATTCACCTACAGCTGATCTGCAGACACCTTTTGCACAATGATGCCGGTGGAGGCGCCGCCTCCATTGCAAATGACAGCAGCGCCGTACTGTCCGGGCTGCAGCTGGTGGAGGAGGGTAACGAGGATCCTGCTGCCGGAGCTGCCGAGGGCGTGGCCAAGGGCAATGGCACCGCCCCTTGGGTTTACGTTTGCGGAGCCGAGACCCAGGATCTTTGCGTTGGCCTTGATGACGGCGGCAAAGGCTTCGTTGAACTCCCAGATGGCGATGTCGTCTTTGGAGAGGCCCGATTGCGCGAGCAGCTTTTCGACGCACGCGGCGGGGGCGACGGGGAAGTCAATGGGGTCTTTGGGGGGGAGTGTGTGTCAGCCATGGTGCAAACATCAAGGAAAATGAGGGGCCAAAACTTACCCAGGGCAGCATCGGCGTAGGTAATGATCTTGGCTAGTACACGGCTGTCGTTGCCGTATTTCTGTGCAATCTCCTTGCTTCCGAGGACCAGGGCTGATGCGCCGTCGCTAAGAGGCGAGCTGTTGGCCGCCGTGACGGTGCCGTTTGGACCCTTTTCGAAGGCGGGCTTGAGCGTCGCCACCTTGTCGAGCTTGAGCTTGTTGTACTGCTCATCTTCCGAGACGACGGTCTCGCCCTTTCTCGACTTGACGGTAACGGGCACAATCTCGTCCTTGAAAAGGCCATCCTTGTATGCCTGCTGTGCGCGCTTGTACGTTTCAATGGCGTAGTCGTCCTGCTCCTGTCTTGAAACCTCGTACTTCTTGGCCGTGTTCTCTGCACAGTTGCCCATGTGGATCTGGTTGTACACGTCCCAGAGGCCGTCTGCGATGAGGCCATCTTCGAGCTTCTGGTGTCCAAAGGCTGGCTGCTGGCTGGCGCGGCTCAGATAGTACGGGACTCTGGTCATGTTCTCCATTCCTCCGGCAACCTGGGCTTCTGCTTGACCGAGCTCAATGGTGGATGCGGCAATGTTGACGGCCTTGAGGCCTGACGCGCATACTTTGTTGATAGTGGTGGCTTCGATGTTTGTTGGAAGACCGGCAAAAATGGCGGCCTGTCGTGCTGGTGCCTGTCCCACGCCTCCCCCTAGCACGTTGCCCATGTACACGGCATCTATCGACGAAACGGGCACCTTTGACTTCTCCAGAGCGGACTTGATGGCTGTGGCGCCCAGCTGGGTCGCCGATACCGTGGTAAAGTTGCCATTGAACTGAGGGGCAGTTAGCAATTGGAGGTGATGGACGCCAACTGCTACCTACCACTGCGGTTGGGGTGCGGCTGGCGCTTATAATATAGGCATCGCGGATTTCTTTCCTCTGTGGCGCCGAGGAGCTGAACTGCCTTTGAATGCTAGCCAGCCGTTGCTGGGGGCGCGAGGCCATCTTGATAGACGCGCGGAGGGCAGCGGAAGACATTGTGACGAGGGACGTGGGAAAAAACCAAGGGGCGCCAGAATGCGGAGAAGAGAGGCTCTTTCAAGGCCATGACATGGCGGCAGGCGTTCCGCATGCGCGTCGAGCGGGCGGAATGTGGAGGAATGACGCCAGAATCCAGCCCGAGGTTCGGCAGCGCACGGCACCACCCGGCTTAGGCCTTCCGCTGGGCGATCCGCAGGGGCTGCAAATCCATCACACGTCTCATCTTAGCACAAGCACGAAACAACGACTTCAGCAATACACAAAGGGCAGTCTTCATAATGTCATAGAAAAATACAAAAGGTCTAAAAGTCTAAGCCAGTGCGCCCATGGGATCCCACAGCTCCAGCATCTTGGGCTGCTGCTCCAATACCTTCCTGACCGACGAGCTGACGACGCTCGGGTCAACGACGGCCTGGTAGACAAATTCATCCATCCAGGCATCGCTCATGACAAAGTATCCCTTGTCTCCCACGCGGTCGCTCCACGAGTTCTCGACGCGCCAGCGAACCGGCTTGCCGTCGACGACATGCACCGCAGTCAGGACCATGGCGTGCGTCATCTGGCTCTCTCCCGTCTGCAGACGCTCGGCCTTTGTCAGGCCCAGCTTGATGTTGAAGCCGAGCTCGTAGTCGAACAGCTCCGTGTCCATGATGCCCTTGGACGAGTCCGAGTACTTGCCCACGTCGGAGCCAAAGAAGACGGGCATGCCGCGTTTCAGCATGGCGATGCAGGCCTCCTTGATGGTCTTCATGTCGACGTTCACGTACGTTACCGGGCGGCCGTTCCAGACATTGCCCAGGCGCTTGACGCTGAGCAGGCGGTTGTAGGGGTTGCGTGGGTCGTTGACCAGCGAAAAGAGCGTGTGCACGTCGGTCCCGGATAGTGCGCGGACCACGCGGTGCTCGGACAGCTCGCTGGCGAATTCAATGGGTGTTGAGCGCACCGTCGAGAGCCTGCCGTCCTTGTCGTAGTATTCCCACGTGAAGGGCTTGGCGGCTGACGGCGGAGGACCCAGCATCAGCGTCAGGATGAGATGGATCTCACGGAGCATCTTTTCCTTTTCGCTCGCAAGTGTGGCCTTCATGGCTTCGGGCGACATGGGCGTCGAGGCAATGGCACGCAGGCGGACGGCATCCTCGCGCAGCTTGGTGGTAATCAGGCGGTCCATGATGGACGAGTTGGATGCGTTGTACGAGTCGGGGTACAGCGAGTGGGGCACGAGACCATACTTTTGCACAAGGTTTGCAACCATGTCCCACTGGCCGCCGTCGCCGACGGGGCTGGCCATGAGGGCCTGTACGATGCGGCTGTCAATCTCGTCGTGCTTGGTGTCGAGGATGCTCTCGAGAAAGTAGTTTGCCTTTTCCATCTTGTCCCAGTAGAAGAGATAGGCCTGGGACAGCTGGAAGTCGGAGAGCTTGTACCGCTTCATGATGGCGATGCGGAAGACATTGGTCGAGGCAAACAGCCAGCACCGCCCCGACGAGGCCTGGTTTGTGACGGGCGAGCCCTCGGTGGGGATCTTGATGTTGAAGCGGTGCGTGTCGGCGATGACGGTGGCGCGTGACGAGAGAACGGCGCTGGCCGGGTTTGTGCTGAGGGCGGAGAGGGCGAGGCGGTTCTGGCAAACGGTAAGCCGACGAAGAGGACGGGCTGGTGGAGGGCGAGGGCGTTTACCTTTGGGTCGGCCATGAGCTCCTCCTCCCACTGGGCAACCGACTTGATGGAGACATTTGCCTGGTACTTGACGCGGGGCGTGTATTGGGGAGCTGGGCGGGTGGTTAGACGGGGGCAGCGGCAGGCAGGGCAGGGCAGGGCAGGGCAGGGCAGGACAGGACAAAACAAGACAAGACATACGGGCTTCTTCCTCGCCGATGACAACGTACTCGTCCCTCTCGCGAAAGTACTTCTCGTCCTTCATGTTGAGGGCTTGCAGGCGTTGGATGAGTTTCTCGTTGACAGAGTCGTCGTCGGAAGGTCTGGATTGGTCGGCGCCCATGGTGGATACCGGGTGGATGCTTTAAAGTAGTAGTAGACTCGGCAGCTATGCAGCTTGAGAAAAGACTGCGGGAGAGCCGTGGGGGAGACGGAGCCTTCACCTCGCCTTGCCTGTCTCTGCTGCCCTATCCATCAGGGTGTCGGTCTTATCGCGCTTATCAGCAGCGCGCGTGCCGGGGTCGCGTGGCAGACCCACCCGATCAGATGGCCCGCGCTCAGCGCGCCGCCTTCCTTGTTGAGAAGGGTTACGTTGCGCGTCGCCCGTCTGATATGCCCACCAGCACCGCCGCGCTGCTTAGTTGCACACACCCGCACACACTCACCCGCCTTTTCTTCTGCTCGTTCTGCGACAACAGGGGATGCTGTCCTGGCCCCTTGCCCGTGGCCTATCGTTGAGCCCCCCGCCGATCGGGGCTTGCCACACCCCCTCGCAGACGCCCGCACGAGAACACGAGACCCCCCAGACCCCCAGACCCTGAGCGGCCGACTAGGCAGCCTGCAGTTTCAACTTGGCCCAGGAACTGGCTTGCCCTGCCTGAGGCTGTCCACGACACATGCTCACCACCTCGCTCCCCCTTTGTCTCCAACGCTGCCTCTGCACACCGACGCTGCATGCGCCGCGCGCCCGTCCAGCACACGCGGCTCGTAACCAGGAGATGACCATCAGATGGAGATGAGATGAAGATGAGCAGGGCCGAACGCGTGTTTCACCACGGGGCGCGCTGCCCTCCCCTGCAATCAGGCCTGCCCCCGGCCTCGAGTCTTGAGGATATCGACGCTTGCTGCACTCCGCCCTCCTATTTCTCGTCGTCCTAGTCTGCCCCGTTGACACTTGGTCATCTGTGACATTGACATTGACACTGACACTGACATTGACGTCGCACAGCACCCGCCCTCACTACACACCATCATGGAGCCCGGCCAAGGACTATGGAAGAAGCGCATCCTCGTGCCCTTTTGGATTGTGCGAATATGCATCATGGTCTTTGTCATTGCTGCGTATGCCTACACGCTGCGCTCGCTGAGAGACCTGGAAGACTTTACTGAGCCGGCGGCAGGGTACGCCCGCGCAAAAAAACACTTGAGCACATGCATTTACTGACAGCCCGCAGAATGGTCGTTCTCTTCATTCTCTTCGTGGTCGTGGTGCTGCTGATCGACGTGCTCGCCATCCTCCTCTTCCTTCGCGATGCGCTCAAGCCAAACACGTTCCTGACAATGAACTCGTTCCAGACGGGCTTCTGGGGCGGCGTCCTGGTCGTCGAGCTGGTATCCATTGGCCAAGGCGCCAGTGCTGTCGGGATTGGATTCAGCGTTTTTGTCTTGTACGTAGGAGCCTGAGGCAAGGCCCTTGGTAGTACTGACTCGCGACAGCGTCACGTTTCTCGGACTTCTCGTCTACTCCTTCATCGGCTACCGTCGCGCAAAGGCTGCCGGCCAGCGCGGCCAGTATGCGCCTGCGCACAACCCGGCGCTCGCCACAGCATACAGCGAACAGCACAGCACTGCATACCACTCGCAGACGCAGCCTCCCGTCGAGGCGCAGGACCCTTATCCGCCTGCATACCAGGCTGGCGCAGCAGGCGATTATTACCAGCAGCAGCCCATGAAGCCGGCGCACATCGTCTGAGGCGGCGGTGCAAATTCTTATGGGCTGACGGCGTCTTGTTTCTCGGCAAAATTAATAATATGCCGGTACTGGATATGCGAAGCGCCTGTACGAGGAAGTGGTGCGGACAAATCATGGCGAGCATGTTCCGGCACACTTGGGCCCGTCGTCAGTTGGCATGCGGCCATGACTTGGGGCGACGGGCAAATGGCTGGATAGACGCAAATGACGCAACAGGGTGGCCTGTACCGTATGCATGCGACTCGCGTTGTGGGAGTAGTCGTGTTCTTTATTTACACGGAGAGCAGAGTCGGACTGCAAGGCACGGCTGTGGCAGGGATTGGTTTGGCCGCCGCCTGCGTTCCTGTGGGGAGCGGGCCGTTGTACCCATGTACCTAGGGCCGGACAAGCATCAGATACGGGCAGGCGTCAAGGGAAAATGGCTCGAACGGCAATTTATTTTTGCTCGCAGGAACATTTGCTATTGAAACTCGGCGTGAATACTGCGCCCAAGACGCCTACACGTGCAAAGACGGACGGGGGCGCAGCCACTGTTTCGAGTGTGGTGCGCCGACACCAAGCCCAGTCGAGCGTCTGGCTGTCTCCGCTGCTCACGCCAACGTCCACTCACAGCACGTCCGCCGCCAGCGCGACCATGGCGCATTTCTGCTCATTTATGCGACAGGCAATCACCATGCCGCTACCAGTGCATTGCTCCGACACACGAGTCTGCGCCTGTGGCTAGTTGACCGAATATAATGCCCTCACGCCAGCACCGTGTCCCGCAAGCTGGGCCCATTGGCCGGGAACAGCATGCAGCGCCTGCTGGTACGTACCTATATCTTGAGCCCGCGAGAAGGCCAAAAGCGTGCCCGACATCCTCCATCGTCAACCTGCTCCTCCCAGTGGCGCTGCTTTCGCCTCACTGTTCAAGATGCGCTCGTTCCTCGTCCTCGCCGCCGCCACCGCGCCGCTTGCCCACGCCGTCCGCGTCGTCCAGTCAAACGACGATGGCTGGGCCGAAGGCAACCTGCGCACCTTTTTCAATGTCCTGGTAGCTGCAGGCCATGACGTGGTGCTGTCTGGACCGGCCGAGAACGAGTCTGGCAAAGGTATGTGGCCATACGTACACACACACGTACGACTGCTCACTGACGGACCTGTCAAGGCTCGAGCGATGCACCGCCCACGGTCGTCGGGAGCGAGGGCTGCATCTACAACTCGTGTGCGCCCGGAAGCCCCCCGACAGGCGCCAACACGACGGACCCTCGTCTCAACTACGTCAACTCGTTTCCCGTGACCTCTATCAAAAACGGCATCGAGGTGACGGCGCCCGCTCTCTGGAACGGCGCCAAGCCCGAACTCGCCCTTACCGGTCCGAACGTGGGAACCAATCTCGACGTCCAGCTGCCCTTCTCTGGCACCGTGGGCGCCGCCGTCTTTGCCGTCGACCAGCAGATCCCCGCCATCGCCTTCTCTGGAAGGAACGGCGAGCGCGCCTCATTTACTGCTCCCACGCCGCTCCACTCGACCATCTACGCCGACCTCGCCCTCAACATCACCACCACCATCATCGCCAGCGGAAAGCCCTACCTGCCAGCAGGCACCTTTCTCAACGTCAACTTCCCCAAGGCCGAGCAGGGCAAATGCGACGACCCCAACAAGTTCAAGTACATCTTTACCCGCATCTCCACCGGACTCCTCAGTCCCCGCGATGCCGACTGGTGCGGCAGTACACGTCTGCCATGGGAGGCCGACGTCATCCTGTTCAAGGGCGACGGCTGCTACGTTTCCATCAGCCCGGGCGATGCCAAGGACAAGACGACGGTCAACGATGTCGCTGTCCAGACGCAGATTATCAACAAGCTCAAGCCGATTCTGTCGTGCTTGCCGTAGGCGTTTCCAACGGTATGGAATTGACATGTATACTACTCATAAAGGATTTTTATTTATTTATTTCAATCTGTGTGATATGTAGCTTGACACAGTACCTTGACTGAACAGTGATACAGGCGAAGCACGTGAAATGATGAGTCATACACAATCCCCAGAGTCACAAAGGATTTCAAGGTCCTGAATATGCATTGTCGAGTCACCACTTGAACGCGCTATATCAGCCGTTCTGTGTCGTGGGGGGAAAAAAAAAAGAGAGCATACAAAAAACATCCTTGTCTGACCACTCGACAACCATGCAAACCACCCCTGGTACCACCGAGGACGCCGCCGCGCCTACAACACAAGATGCTACTCTCCCACATCCCTCGCTTGCATCGCGCATGAAATCCTACGAAGCGCAATATAACTTCACTCTACCTCCGGACAAGCCCATTATTTTCCGGCTAGATGGCCACGGCTTCTCGCGCTTCACCTCGCACTTTGCGCGGCCGTTTGACGAGCGCATCCACGGCGCCATGGCAGCCACCAGCAGCGACCTGCTCGACTTCTTCCTGCAAGCCACGGTCGCATACACGCAATCGGACGAAATCACGCTCGTGTTCCCGCACGGCGTGCACACGTTCAGCGCGCGCATCCAGAAACTCGCCAGTCTGAGCGCGAGCTACTGCTCCGTGCGCTTCAACAAGCATCTTGATGACGCCCTGCGCGATATCCCCGACCCCCCGCTGACGGGCAACACGCACGGCATCCACGGCACCGCGCACTTCGACGCCCGCATCTTCGCTGTCCCGGACCTCCACGAAGCTCTCAATTGCCTCATCTGGCGCTGCCGCAACGACGCCGTGCGCAATGCCGTCTCGCGCTTCGCAAGCTCCCTATTTACCCCGAGCCAAATGCACGGCAAGAAGACGCACGAGCTCATCGACATGATGCTGACCGACAAGGGCATCACGTTCCGCGATGCCGTCCCCAAATGGGCTCTCGAGGGCTGTCTGGTTAAGCGCGAGCAGTACGAGCACAACGGCCTCAACACCAAAACGGGTCAAATCGAGACGACTTCTAGATCAAGGCCCAGCGTACAGGATAGAGGTGTGCGCACTTTTGACGACGCTGGCCTTAGGCTGGTTACACACAAGTATTGGTAGTTCGTGTAATACGAATGAATTCTTGATGCACAATGAATCATACATAAATAACATCACACGCACATACTAACTATACTTGTGAAAGAAAACCATGTACAAAAAAACCGTCACATCATGCACGTATGTACTTATTTACAGCAAGCAATCAAGACACACACTCTCTCTCTCCTTAATTAGTAGACAAAAATCCAGATTTTGGAAAAGAAAATGAATATGAGGGGAGGAAGGAGGAGGAGGTGAAGAAAAATTGCAAAAAAAAAGATGGGGCCTGACCGGGATTCGACTGTAACGCTGTTAGAACATCGTTTTTCAAAGGCGAATCTTAATGGGTGCCAAACTTACACCCGGGGCCTCCTGCAGAATAGGCTAAGTCAAACGACACAGGGTTTGTTACGCCGCGAATCGCTTTATCCCAAAGCAGGAATCATACCACTAGACCATCAGGCCGAATTTCATGACTCTGTGAGAGATGATGGTTGTGTGGCGAGGAATAGGGAATATGAATTCTTTACTGGGATTGGGAAAAGAGGGTGTAATAATAATTTGATGGTAATAGTAGCGGCAAGTAAGGGAGGGGGGTTTTGTGGGCGTACTTGGGCGCGGGGTTAAGCGAGTGCGGGAGTCATTCGTATTCGTTTTACCCACCCACTTCGACCTCGTATTTATTGTAGAGTGTAATATGACGACGTCTTAAGACGTGTATTCGAATTCAACAACAGCTGTTATAATATATAGCACATTGGTATCTCAAAGACCAATTGCTCCCGTTTACGCCTCACCGCATGATGACATATGTAAAAATAAAACCAAACGCTGCGTGTCTATGCCTTTTAACAAACCGTGTGTATTGGCGGAAGCTCATGTCAAATCTAGGACTTCTATGGTGCTTTCTCGCCATTTGCGCCGTTCTTTGCCTTTGCGCAAGATGCCGGGTGATGCTTCTGGTTTCTGGGGACTCTCAATATCGACGTACTCCCAGGCGCCTATTACGCTTTTTCGTAGCACAATGGCGCGTTTCTTCTTGCCCTGTGCTTTCCAGGCTGCGGGCGGTGAAGTGGACTTTTGCTCGCTCGCCGATCGTTCTGTGGATGATTCAGATGAATGTGTTGGGAGAGGAGATATTGGCGTTGGGACCGGTGGTTGTGGTTCTGCAGCATGCTTCCTCACAGGGGACGAGTGCTCCGTCAGGTCAAGCGTGTCTACTTTCGGAGATGTCGATCTCGAGCTTGCTACTGAGAGTCGGGGAGAAGTAAGGTCGAGGCTGTCAATGTCGGGACTTGAGGCTTTAGTTTTGTTGGGACGCGTCTGGCCGAAGGCGTCCCTGATACTCTTCTGTTTGCCCGATCCTGTTGACGATGTCGAACTTGTGGATGCATGGGATGCGTTTGATGATATCGAGATCAGAGGCGGCCGTGTTAATGTTACGGTATTCTTTTGACGGCGTGGGGATTCTGTACGCCTTGGTGAAGAGAGCGTCAAGTCTAGTGATTCGACATCTTCGGATGGCGGATGAAGTCGCGGTGCAGGGACTGGCGCTACATCCAGCAAAGGAGCAGTGCTTCGCTGTTTCGTCGGTGACATTGATGCTCGCCATGCGTCTAGAGTGGATTGCTTTGGTACAGACGGATTTCGAGAGGTTCTTGTAGCCGCATCTTTCCCCGTCCTTGTCCTGGCTTTCTTTGCTGGCAGCGGCGAAGGTGAGGGATTGGCAGGGGAGTCGACCAAATCCAATGTCTCTATAGTATTCAGGAGTGGAGGCGTAGAGGGCCGTTCCAAAACAGTGCTTGTATCGGCAGGAAGTGTTTTCGAGCGCTGCATTGGAGCCCGCCTTCTCCGCTTCGTAATGCTTGGAGGCAACTCTCCCGGAATTGGAGACAGCGACTTCTCACGATATGGTTGGGGCGGCGGCGAGGACAACAAGTCGACCACTTCGCTCTGCGCTTCTGCAGCCTGGGATGACGGCACTGGAAGGTCATCAGCCTTTTCTTGTGCCTTTGCAAGTGCTCGTGAAGCTCTCAGGCCAGGTTTTGTCACTTTGGCAAAAGCCTCGATACGAACTTGAGGTTGGTCTTTTGTTGCCTTTGTTCGTCTTGTGGTTGTCTTCGTCTTCGGTGCCGCAGTACTAGTGTCCTCAGCCGATGCTGCTCGCCTGGGTTTCTGCTTGTTCCGTCGCTCAGCCTCCCAGTCCTGAACTTTGAGCGGCACGCCGACTTTGACAAACGTCTCCATGACCCATATGCGTGCCGGCTTTCCGGGGTCAAACTTGGTGGGCCCGCGTTTTCTGGGACCCTCGTCCTCCAAATCCAAGGCAATGTCCTCGTCGAGATCTGCGTCTCCAATGCCTTGCTGGGAGCTAGGTGGTAGTTCTACATCGTCGTCTGGGTCTTCTTGACTAAGATCGATTTTTACGAGCTCAATGGGTGTGAAGCTTACACGAAGCTCAGTGCAATGGTCCGTGATGGCATGTTGTCGTTTTCCATGAAGTCCTTTGATGAGCGTTGCTTCGTCTTCTTGAATAGCTTCCAAGTCGTCAGTGGGCAGCCGATTGATCTGTTCAGCGCGCATCCAAAGCTGGCGCACGACTAAACACGGTGCCAGACTACGAACAAAGTGCTTTGCGCCCTCGAGTTTCACCCAGTCAAAGGCGTCTTGCGTAAACTCTCGCAGGCCCGGAAAGTCAAGCTCCTTGTTCCAGTTGATCGATCGGCGTAATTTGTCTAGACCAGCTTGGTTCGAGATTGCTGGATGTGTGTAGTACCCCAAAATGTCGAGTCGGGGGAAGTCGTCGGGAATCTTCAATGCACCGTGCTTGCGTCTGAAGAACTTGCTTTCATTGGTCCTGAGCTCATGCTGCAGTCGCTCTCTCCATTTGGTCATGGCGCGGGAGTCGTTTCTCGGGATCTTGCACAGGTCGGCGCCAAAGCCCGCCTTTGCTGCCTCGCACGCTGTCTTTGGGCCACATCCGGGTATACCCTCAGGCACATAGTCTCCTCCACTCATGAGCGCGACCAAGATCATGCCCTCGCGATCTAAGCCTGATGGCCCGTTTTTCGTCTCAACTGCGTCGTACACGTTGACATGAGTTGGTGTTTTTCCGGATTTCTCTGGCGACCAGTTCCGGATGGTCACACCGCTGCCAAACATGAGCGTGTCCACATCTTCACTGAGAACAGCGTCGACGATGCCTTCCCTCTGCAGCAACGCGCATTCTGCCTCAGCTTCGCCCGGCGCAAGGTGTATAGGATATCCAAACTGCTTGAGCAGCTGTTTGGCGAGGAACTCGGGTATCGAAGCAACATTCGGGCCTGTGCGCTTATTGCGCTTGAAAGGCGGTTTGTTTGGCCCATCAAATACAAAGATGGGGTGTATAGCGAGCGAAATCAAGCGCAAGAGGCGGTAGTAGAAGGTTCGCAGCGCCGGGTTGGTGCCGCCTAGTCACAGTCAGCCTCTTGTGTTGCGCGTATGCCTGAGCAACCCGCCTTTGCTGGCTTGAATCTGAAAAAGCCAGATGGATGTGTCAATAGCAATGCGCAGCGGACGGCCGGTTTCTTCGAACTTTTCGACGGCGAGCTTGGCGAGGGCTACGCGCGTGCCTGGACCGATTTCCTTGTATATGCTGCGTATGTTAATGAATGATGATATGGCGGAGCATGCGCGACTCACCCGTGGATACCCATTGCAACCCATACTCTGCCCGATCGTCGAGCCGGCTGCCTGGCTTGCGATGTTGCGCGCAGCCAAGTGCTTAGTGGTGATAAGATTGTTGCCACGACAACAACGCGTCACCCGTCCCACCTGCCCACGCATGCAAGTTTATTCCCCACCATGCCCCCCCTAACGCACTAACAACTCCGACAGTTCTCACAAAGACCCTTGACAATGGCGCCCCGCGGCCGCAGCGTGACGGCGTCCGAAGACGCCCACTCGGACCGCAGCTACGACTCCAGCCCGGATCCTCTTGCCATATCCTTCGACGACAACATCGCCTCAGCTCGTCGCAAGCCCACACCCAGGAAACCCATCGTCCCAAGCTCGCCCAGCAAGCAGCGCAGCCGGCTAGATGCCTCCGAGATGATATTCTCATCGCCGTCCAAGTCCATGACATTAAGCACACCGCGGGGAAATGGCGCAAGCCCCTGGCGCATCAAGGTTACCGTCCAGGCCGAACCGGAGGACGATGGCGAGCATGCTGAATCGCCATCGGTGAAGAGAGTGACGAGAACAAAGACGACAACAGTGCCATTGAAAGACCCCGATGCCTCATCACCAGTCAAGCGACCCCGCGGCCGTCCCAGGAAGTCTGACGTTGGATCAACGCCCAAGGCAAAGCGAAGGGGAACACCCATCAAGAGGCCTGCGCAGTTCAGTTCTCCAACGAAAATATCACAAGATAGCGAGTCGGGTGCGGCCGACGTGGATACCGACATACCGCCCAGGAAGCGTAGAGGTCGTCCTAGGAAAGGCGCCCATCCATCGAGTGAGGAGCCCGACGTCGCGGAAGAACCACAGACCAGTCCACGGTCTATCCGTGAAGAAACCCCTCTGCCCACTGCAAGCTCGAGATTGGAGGGTCCCAAGAAGAGTGCGCGGTTTGCAGACGTCTCCAGTCCCGACGTCGAGACTGTGGATAATGCATTGCCAAGTTCGCCCGAATCTGAGCCGTCTCCCAGCCTAGGCACACCAGCCCAAGTAAACCTAAGGAATGCTATGCGCGCACGCAGAAGCACTCCATATGCGAAGAGGGTGGCTATTATAGAATCGGACGAAGACGAAGAAGGCAGCGATGTTCTTACACCAACCAGTGGAGAAGAAGAAGAAGAAGAAGCTCTACCAGAAAGCCACCATCTGAGTACGCCTGAAGATGAGGGGGATGTTCTTACACCAAGCGAGACGTCGGCGCAGTCGAGCGACTCAAGTGACGATGCATCTAACATAACTGGAGACGACGGCGCTGGTCAAGTTGCTCAAGATTTTGAAGACGATGATGAAACACAGGGCCAGCAGTTTGTCTTTGACGAAGGCACCACTAGAATGCCAGACGACACGACCATGCTGGATAGCGAGACATTTAGCATGATCTCCGTCGAATCTCTGCAGAGCAACGGAGCTCGCGCCAGCCCGTCAAACACCATGCTCTCCAATACCACGGCGGCCCCCCGAGCCGGATCATCACTCAGGCACGAGTACTTGGGGTGGTCTAAGAATGCCACGACCGAGCCTGAACTCCCAAATCTCGAAGAGCGGACGTCGACAATTGAAGCTCCCGCAGACACTGTGCCTACCGATCAAGTGCGCCCAAAACTATCGCGCCATGTGACGCCCGCAACAGACTCCGAGGTGCCTTCAGCTCCACCGGTGTTGGTCCCTGTTCAGTCTGCTCCCACAAAATCACCATCTCCGACGCTTGGGCGAGCGGTGACTGCTGGTGTGGCTTTACAAGGCTTGCTAGACCCGGACCGACTCACCCCAGAGGCCCTTCAAAACACGCCCAATGCTAAACGCGGCTCACTAGATGATCTCTTCCGGGGATTCAGCTCAGGCACACGTAAAGATCTCCAGGCAGGCCTGCGACTCGGCGAGCAGCTTGCACAGGGCCAGGGCGAGGAAGATGACGCGCCTGGTCCCTCGAGCCCTATCAGGGGTCCGTCTACGGCAGCGCCGAAAGAAGGTGTGTTCCGCACGCAACGAAAATATCGGCAGTCGCGTCTTCTTACACCCGAAGACCAGGATCATGTTATCACAGCGGCGGAGCCAGCAGTCGCCGCGAGCGACGTCCAGTACCCGACGTTGAATGTTGAGGAGACAGAAAAAGCACCCATGAGCCCGGCACGGAGCGAGTCTGCAATGAGCTGGCGAGCCAACACTCCTCCCCGCGCATCTGGAAGCCAGGTACAACAGGACAGTGCCATGGATGAGGCCCAAGAGGCGCCCACTGCAGAGAACCCGGCCTACGAGGATTTTGGTGATATTTGGCAAGAGGAGGCTAGTCGCTCGGTGATCTCGATAAACCCAGACGAAGTCCCAACTGAAAAATCTCCTAAAGTACATGATCTCTTCACAGACGCCGACGTTGTCAGGCCTGCTCGCGGCAGAACCACCCGAACCTGGCGGAGGAGGAGGATGAATGACGAAGCGGAATCACTACAAGGACCTGCTGTAACACGTACAGGACCAGCAGTCACTCACCAGGCTGAAGAAAAGAATGCGCCTGAAGAACAACCCAAACAAGTCGAAGTAGTGAATGCTGGGGGCGAGGAAAGCGACGACACCGGCATGTTCTTCCAGTCCAACGTACCCGAACAGAAGCGTCCTTCGCGATTTGAGAGGCGGCGACCAAGAATACAGGAGGCAGAGAAGGTGAGCATTGTTGAGCTTCTCGAACAGGGTGAGAGCTTTGTACCAGAGTCTTCTCCGCCGGTGGCCGCAAAAAAGACGACTCCACCAGCCAAGCCAAACCCGTTTCTAGATACACCGCCTCGTTTCCAGGCACTCATGAGTTCGCCCAAGAAGAGCAGTCCTTTGAGGCGGGAGCTTCACAGTGGCGACATTTCGACAAGCTCTGTACAGCAGTTTGAGGAGTCTACATTGCCGCTCGCACAAAGCTCGCCGTTCCACACAGTTGTCGATGGAGATAGCAAAATCTCCGCTGCATCAGATCAACGGCAGTTCCGGGTGGAGATGGAGGGAGATACCGCCTCAACCATTGTCCGTGTGCGAGAGGAGGCCAACGAGTATCTTGACGCATATGAGCCGCAAGAGCAGAGCTTGAATGAGATCACAGAAGTCACCGAACCGAGCCAAACACGAATAGAACAGAGTCTCTTGCCATCAAGCCCGCCAACGATGCAGCGGCGGTTTGAGCAGCGGCTGCTCTCAGCCCGTAAGCCTTCACCGCTTTCCAAGTCGATGCAGCGGCCAGACGACGTACACATACCCTCACGACAAGATTCAGCGCGTGCCGAAGAGCCGCAGGTAATTAGCTCATCGCCTGAGCCCAGCTCCAGCGAAGAGTCAGAAACCAGCTCCAGACCAGGCACTCAACCAGAAACACAACCTGGTCTGGCTTCGAGCGTCATGTCAACGTCCCACTTGGCTCAGTCACTGCCACATCCCATCCTCTCTCGCATGACGCCGCTCCCAAAGGTTGAGCCCTGGACGAGGACACACTACAAAGCGCTCGACAAGCTCTACGCAATGCACCTCAAGCACCCCGCTCTCTTTTGCCCCTTTAACGTCCCTCCGACACCCCTATCAACTACAAACGGCCAACTCCTCCGTCGATTCCTCGCCGACAACGGCAACCTGCCCTACGTCGGCGCCGTCTTCCACGCTTGGGGTTACAGCATGGTCATGACGGCAGAGCTTGTCGTTCTCTGCAGTGTTTTCATGGACGTGATGAGCCTCGGCAGCGAAGCAGAGTACGAGCGCGTTACCGGAAAGAGGCTGCAGGTGGGTGACTGTGCACCCGGCAGGCTTGGCGACTGGATCTCGGGCGAAGATGTCCTGCAGCGGCTTGCTACCGTCGTCATGGGCGAGAGCGTCAGGAGAGATGAGCGCGCGGGTCGTGAGATTGATCGCTCCAGGGGGCTGCAGATTGAGTGGCCGCAGAGGATGCGGTGAGCTTCATTGCCTTTTACCAATTGATTGGAGTTTGGGTGTTGGGACACGGATACCATGTGATGATTTCTGGATAGCGTTCTCAGGTGTTGGGTTGTCAGTTGTTTCTTGGGCAAGATACCTCGCTGTTATTCTATTTTTGTTGTATTCTTTACCTACCATCTTGTTGGATATCGGGTTCTAGTGAATGAACAATCTATGCGTAACCTTATTGTAAAAATTAAGTGTGTTTGATCTCTTTATTCAAAGAAAAAAAAAGAAGACACGTGTATGGCAAATCTTTTCGTAGCACGGTAGGTGACGCAAAAAAGGCAAAAAAGAAACATACGGGGCTCAACCGGGATTCGGCTATAACACTGTTAGACATTGTTTGAAGCGAATCTGATAGGTGCAACTTACACCCGGGGCCTCCTGCAGAATAGGCTAGAACGAAGAGCGGATGCCCGACGTTTTCCCAAAGCAGGAATCATACCACTAGACCATTAAGCCGATGTAGTTTTATTTCGATGACTAATCTGGGATTACGGACGCTTATGATGAGGGAAAAGATGGAATACAATGGAGTACGGTAGCGAGACAACTAAGTGGAGCATGTAGTGTTGAGGCCATGCAGGCGTGAGTCATCAGGCGAGAACACGAAGCGGTCTGGCGGTCAAGCACGGTTAGTGGTAGAACCGGTTGTGATGGCCTGAGCATCAATATTGTACATTCGGCAAGTCTACATGCGTGTATACAAAGCCTGACCCGTGAGCCTCGCGACGGCGGCTAATGCGATTGCGTAGCGAGTACCAAATTAAAAGAAGAAGAAAAAGGACCTGGTCGCTTTGTGCCTAGAATTCATGCCGGAAAAATGGTTGCAAGCATGTGCTCACTTCGTTGTAGCTTTTTCTCGCTTCTCTTGTAGATACTTCCAGGATTTTGAGAATCCCGCTGTAAAGGGTCCTTTGAGCGTCTGTATGGTCGATGGCCACTTGACGGTCTGATTGATTGCCTTTGTGACCATATGTGGAATGTCCTTCTCAGCTGCTATTCGCCTGTCAAAGTCACCGGCGACCTGCTTCTTCAGGATACCCCCTGAGGATTCGTCTTTCCGTGCTTCCAGCATCTGTTGGAACTCGCGACCCGATATGCCAAACTTGCCGCGGTACTGAAAGTATACCTTCTCGCGGAACTTCTTGGGCAGCCGCCTGACCATGCTGGCGCGCCGCTCTGGGTGCATATCCTGCGACATCCTCTGGTTCAGCTCGTCGTCCTCCATCCAGTCCGACTTGCGAATCACCGACTCGTCGGCGTATCGAATATTAGGGAGCGACATGATCAGGTCGTGGTAGAGGTATCGGAAGTTGCGTATCTGGTGCGTGACGATGTTGTCAATCTTTCTGGGATTTTCGCTACCATACTGCATGCGCGGGTCCCCCTGATAGCTCAAGCCTGTGATTGTAGAGTATAGTTCCTTCTCGGTAAACGCCTCGGGTAGCAGCAGAAGCGCGCATCGTACCGCGGAGAGGAGGTTGCGTTGGTTCGCGACGCGTAGATTGGGCTCTTCGTGTAGGATCTTGACGGGCTTGTGCAGGCGGCCGGCAAAGTATAGCGTGTCCCACTCGGTGAGATCACGGAGGAGCGTTTCGTAGTTGACGACGGCGTATTTGATCATGGTTCCGTTTACTACAACGTATGGATTAAAGTACGCGCCTGCGCCATACTTTTCCTGGACATGGCTGACGACTCCTGAGCCGAGCGATCCAAGGAAAGAATAGTGGTCTCTGTGCTCGCGCAGATTGAGCGAGTGGAAATGCTGCGAGAACCGCGGCGTCAGGATGAAGTCAACCATCTTTCCACCGCCCTTTTGCCATTTCAATATCGCCTCAGGGGGGTTCGGGTGAGGCGATTGCGTTGTGCGCGAAGCTGTCGCAGCGGACTGGGGAAAGACTCCAGAGCCGTAGGCAAACGCATACGTGACAGGGGGGAATCTCCGGAGAATGGCCCGCAATGCCCGCTTGAAATCCTCATTCGTTTTCATCAGCTGGTTCTTCCCAAAGTCCTTGGGCAGCTCTGTAAAGTCCGACAACGAGGGAGCTTCATCTTCCCAGTCGGGGGGCAGCGATTGGAATGCTTGGGGTGCATCGGTGGACGCCGTCTTCTGAGACGACAAAAAACGGCGATCGGCCTGCACCAGGGGCCGTTTACACCAGGCTATCCGAAATGCTGGCTGGTGTCGATACATTCTTGTGCAGCAGTCGATGCCTGTGGTTGCGCAAAGTGAGGGCGCGGATGACGTAAGCGTGTTGCTCCTCAACAGGTCTTGGCGCATCAGATGTTTGGTTTTGATGTTTGATGCCCGCCTGCCGCGTCTCCAAACGCGACTTCTCCCTCCATCCCGTCTACCCCACACCAATCCAGGCTCGCACCACCCAAACCCGCAGAGGCAATTGAGATTTGCTGTAACCAAAGCAGTAGAAAACTCAGAAAAAAAGTCCAAACCACTCCGCTACCTCTTCAACCAACGCCATGGACGCGTCGCTGGCTTCGTTCCACGCGCGTCTCGCCACATTTGAGGAAGCAGCCGCGACCAGCAAAGGACGACGCACCAGCAGTAGAGGAAAGAAGGCAGTAGCGAAGCCAAAGGCTTCATGGCCCCTCGAAGCACCCTCCGCACAAGATTTGGCCTACGCCGGTTTTGTGTGGAAGCCCACGTCTACTAGCCCCGACAACGTCCAATGCTTCAGCTGCGAGTGCCAGCTAGATGGCTGGGAAGAAGCGGACATCCCTGCTTTTGAGCATGCAACACACTCCCCAAGCTGTGGCTTCGCAATCATCGCCTGTATCCGCCTGCGTGCGGGCGACCCGGGCAGGACGGAGGATGATCCAACCTCTGAGGCCATGGTAGCTGCGCGTCGCTCAACATTTGGCGACATGTGGCCGCTCGACGTCTCTGCTGGCTACCCGAGTGTCGACCAAATGGTGGCTGCTGGCTGGTTCTACGACCCATCAACAGATACTCCTGACGGTGTGACCTGCCCATACTGTTCTTTGGCACTGGATGCATGGGATATTGGCGATGATCCTATGCAAGAGCACCGCCGACGATCTCCCGACTGTCTCTTCTTCACACTCTCCGAACTCTACAAGCCTGCTCCGGCACCTAAGAAGACCAAGCGCACATCCAAGGCCAAGCGTACCTCGACCCGCTCATCCATTGCCTCTACAGCTAGTAAGAGGGCTACGCGCAGCAAGAAACGAACGAGTGAGGCGGTTGAAGACAACACCGAACTGTCCGAAATTATCCAGCCTGCTCCGAAACGCATACGATCTGCCAGTATTGAGAGTTTCCCGAGCGACCTTCCTGTTGGAACACCTAAGAAGACGCCGAACGGCATCACAGACACTGTCATGGACGATTTTGACATGTCCAGCTTGCCGGCAGACCTCGCAGTTGGGACACCTAAGAGGACTCCGCCTATGATGAGCGAGGCCGACGATATTCCGGAATCGATTGGGTGGAAGCCTGCCGATATTGACGCTGTGTTTACATCGCAGGATGATACCCATGGCTTCATGAATGATATTCTCATTGATGCTGGCCTCGACAACGTCCAGGCTTCGGATCTGACTCCAGAACGTCTGTATGAGCTGGTCATGGACGGTCTCACGGACCAAGAGAAGCGCATGACGATTGAACAATGGGTCCTGCACAACGCAAAGAGGGGCGAAGAGAAACTCCGCACGGCGTGTGAGCAACAGATACTTGCGTTTGAAGCTGAAGGCCACCGGGCTATGGCGGTCCTGGAGGGCATTCCCACGGTCTGATGTTACGCACGTTTCAAGATGGCAGGATTGGAGTACTTGGGAGTTTTGTTGTTGAGATACCCCGGCATCAACATGGCGTTTGGCTTGTTCAGGTTCGCTTTTAGTATTGTTTTCGACTCGAGCCGCACCTGGCCATTTCTCATATCTCGGACACATTGCAGCCACGTGCAAAGACTGGCTCTTGAACGAACCGTGGTAGCGTAGGCATGGACTTGGATAGGCGAGACTTGTTATTCTTTGTTTGAGCATGAGATGATGATGTTCAGGACGCATGATTGGCATAAATTGACTGGGTGCTGTAGAGACAATCGAGTCATTGATACATGGCAAGGCAAGGCAATGCAACGCGTAATCACGTGATATGTCTAATAACTGAGGTATGCACATGGGTTGTTTATTCAACAAAGCCTCGTATTCTTTGAAGATTCTCCAGGAACCCACCGGTTCTTTGTGGCTGCGGCTGTGGCTTTGGCGCGCTGCTCTGAGCCGGCTTCTGCTGCCCTCGATCCTTGGTCCGTTCCCTCTCCCTGTCGAGTTCTCGTTGCTTGTCCTCTGCCAGCTTGACTAGGCCTTCGACGAACTTTGTCCTTGCCTTTTCCTCTGCTGTGCCCTTCCAAACCCGGGCCAAGTCTCTCAGCGCTTGTATCCGTATCTCTGCTTTTTGGATGCCGCCGTCTGGGTCGCCGGTGATGAGGTCGGCAATCTCGGAGCGCAGCGAAGCGGCAAACTCTTTGCCTTTTTGTTCGCGTGAGGCGCTGTCGGTGCCAGGCTCTGGGGCAGAGACGCTGATGAGAGAGGCTCCTAGCGAGACCTCGGTAGGAGGTATGGTCCAGTGCATGGCTTCGCCAAAGACCTTGATGACATTCTCAAGACGCGAGCGAACGGTGGTGAGGGTGCGGAGGTCGGAAATGTACTCAGGCGTGTTGTCTTGGTCTTCTGCTGGCGCCGGCTCTGGCAGCGCTTCAGCAGGCGCATCTGCTGTCGGGCTTCCAGTCGCGCCATCTGCTGACTCTGCTTTTAACTTGAGCCCGCCAGGCAGGAACTTTTCCACGTCGTCCTTCAGGCCATCTGTCAAGCTCTCTGTAAGTCCTATTGCCTCTCCGCGCAACACCTCGACCTCGTAGGCCAGTCGCCCGCCGCTCCGCAGTATGTCATCGGTCAGTTGGGTCAGTATTGCCGAGAGGCGGGTTGTATGCGCATTGAGCTGGGAGAGGAGGTCCTGGGTCTGGGAGGAGAGGTCGGCCAAGGAAGCGGCATTGGCCGTCTTTGGCCTTGAGCCTAGCGAGAGCGAGGGCAGGGTGGCATTGAGGTACTGTGCGGGGTCGAATTGCGGGGCGAGGAAAGGCGCGAGGGCGGGATCTGATACGTGTGTGGACTTTGGCGTCGTCTTCTCTTCGGATACTGCCATGGCGGACACGGGGATAAGGAGCTATTGCGGATGTAAAGTAATAGCTGCAACTGGGCGGTGCCGGACGCTTGGAACCAGAGCCTTGGCCGATCGAGTTCCGCTCCCGCACCGAAAAGTGGGGGAGGGGCACGCCAACGCTATTCAAGCTCCAGGATGCTAGCCCTGTCATGGTAAGATCTCGCGCTGTTCCTCGCCAATCTGGACGTTGATACCTCTCTGGGGAGTAGTCGCTTGGGCTGTCTCCAGGAACACGATGGACATGAGCAGACAATGGCTGCTCTGGTAGGAGCTTGAGTGCGGGGTGTCTGGACGCTAATCTCAGTAAGCTCACACAAGCCACCATCCAAGTGACGTTTAGCATCTTTTCTTATCGTCCTCAAGTACGCCTTCCAACCTTATTTCAACATGGCCCGACGGCTGATGGATAGGATGTAGAGCGTGACGGCATAGACTTGGCCTAGATCTGCGGCATCAAAAAGGGTACACGCTCTCAGGGTGTGATGGCGCTAAGCAGCTTAGAATGTAACCACAATTGTGCAGCAAGACCCAATTCGCGAGAGAAATGCAGAGAGCGGTTGGCCAAAGGCATCGTCGCTAACACCAGAGCCCCGAGCCCAGACACGCCATGATGCAAGTAATCTCTCTCGCGGCCCGCGCCACAGCCGACCGCGCCACACGGAGGCTGGCTGAGCCCCAACTCCACCTTTCCAGGCACCAGAGCCCCACGCATGTACCATTGCCGCTTTGGTTGACCGACGGCCAGGCAGCGAACTCTGCAGGCTGCCATTGCCATGGAGCCTTGCCAAGGTCCTTTGGGAGCAACTGAGCCTAGGTAGACGTGAACAATGCCTCTTTGATCCCACGCCCGCCTCGTCTGCTGGTCTCCTGTCGCTCGCTCTGCCCTGCCGTTACCCAAGTCGTGCCCCCCCTCCCCCAGCGTTTGCCCATTGGTACACACGGCCATCTTTGACGTCACTCGCTGTTCTGCTGCAGTCCCCGCGCCTTTCACCCTTCCATACCACTTAGACAGGTAGCGCCTGCCGAATTTCTGCTGCACGCCTGGCTCCACGCCGCCCAACCCGCTCAACTCACCAGCCCCAGCGCCCACCACCACGCCCCAGCCCAGCCCAGCCCAGCCCAGCCCAGCCCAACTTTTCACAATTGCCTCCGCCTTCTCTTCCTGTTCCTCGCTTTATCTTCAGGAGCTCTCATCATGCCGCGACGGCAGTTCCAGGCCGACCTCCAGAAGGCTGCGGATGGCCTCTCCATAGCTGGCATCTCGCATGTGCGACCCGGCGCCGACGATGGCGAGTTTACTTTTACCTGCATTGCAGATGGCCAGCAGCTGAATATCTCGGCACTTGTCACAGGTAGGTAAATTACCGTGGTTGCAGCCATACTGTGAACTGTCGGTCTGTTAATTTCGCACCTTTGCACTACAAACACTTGCTAGGGATTGTCCACAATTCGCAGTCTGCTGAAGCTAATGCACAACAGATGTCTCCGACTACCCATCGAGCCACACATGCATGATCTTCGCAGGTGACAACGCTTCCGCGGGTGTTGCTGCAGCTCTGAACGGCATCACAGACGCAGTCACGGCCAAGACGATCCCTCAGATTCTCGAGCTAGTATCCAGCAGACTTGAGTCGACAGACCGTGATGGCGACCAACAAATGGTCGACTCGCAAGAATTTGACGGCTATGAAGATGAAGACGACGACGACGATGAAGATGAGTATTTCCCCGGTGATGAGGATATGCTGCCGAAACACCGCACTGCACAGAATGCATTCGTATCAGAAGGGAGCTTCGCCGAGGCCACGCCTGCATTCAAGCAACGCCTTCGGAACGACCTATTAATTGCAAAGAGCGAAGGATTCAAGATTGGACATCTCGGCGGTCTTGCGGATGGACTAGCGTGCTATGTGTCCCTATCTATCCGCATATCCAAACTGGGCATCTCAGAAGAAGCAATGAAGGCGTGGCAGGTGGAGCCTTCGGAATACCTCGTCGCGATATATCACTACCCATATGGCTACAAGAGCATGGAAGATTTGAAGTCGTATGATGCCCACAAAGCGCGTCGTAGCCTTGGGGTTCGCATTGGCATATGCACGACGTACAAGCCCACCATGCAAGAGGCGATTGCAGCATTCACGGCTGTCAGCAAAGACGATGATGAGCGACGAGACGACTTCTCGCATGGCGACTCTCAGAACGCCGCGCTTACCAAGTCCAACGGCTTCCGGAACTCATTTGTCTCGAGGCCTCTGAATGAGTTGTTTGAGCAGCGCTTTCACATGCTTGTAAAGTACCGCTACGGGGGCATGACATGGCAAGGCGCCGAGTCATTCTACAATGATCAGATCTTGAATTCGTCACATGGGCACCAAGACGCTTCGCACGGCAAGTACTATGAGGATGAGCGCGTCAACAACGCCTGGCCCAAGATTGTCACTGCCGACCACATTACCTCTTCAGTCAACCAACCACATTCCTTGCCTCTAGTGGGCATGCAGTTCATACTAAGGCACTTCGTGCGTTGTACCGAATTTTGCTTGATTTGTTTCAGCAAGATGCCAGACGACCTGCAGGCGATCAAACCCTATGTTTGCGACAACCCCCTGTGCCTATATCAGTACATGTCACTAGGCTTCGGTCCGAGCATTGAGCACGAAATTATCTCCCAGCCAAAGGTTGTGGACTTGCTCGTCAGCTTTTGCTATGCCAGTGCGCGCTGTGGGCGGCTCAAAGACTTTCCCACTGGCCTTAGTCTGGCTGTGCCCCATCCGGTCGGGAGTCAAAAGGAGTATTTGAGGTTTCAACCGCCTCCACACTACAGAGCATCTCAAGAAATTCAACAGCAGGCATCTCGGAAAGATACTCCGGAACCTACTGCGTTGAGTATGCGGTACAATGAGGCTACACTGGAGATGCTTTTCGAAGATTCCAAGCAAGTTTGTCCTGTAGCACAGGGCGCCTGGATTATCATCCGTGTGGACAATGACCCCAGAGTGCTGCACTCCCGCGTGGTAGACACTTCGCTTTACCCGTCAGTCAAGTTGTCCAGTCCTGTCGTCCCCATCATTATTGAAGGCTCGAACGACCGTTATGGATCATTTCCATATCCCATGCCACCACCGGCTAAGGCTGCTCAACTAAAGAAGGCACTCCCTCCACTACCAGCACACAGGAATCAGTTCCGATCTGCAAGTTTCTACATCTATGATCACAACTTTGACGATCTTCAAGACCACGAGAAGCAGCCGGTCATGGCTACATTACTGGACCAACTTCCTTCCATTCGGGATATGAGAAAGTTTCTTTTGCGTAACCCACAATCTTCTCTGAGTTCTTGGGTCGACCGCCTCTCCCCTGCTGCTCTTGGGGTCCTACGTTGGGTCATTGCCTCAAACCGGGCTTGTATCCTACAGGTCGATGACGAAGGAGATGCGAGCAGCCGAAAGAGTGAAGAACAGCTTTATGGAATGGGAGGTTGGGCCCAATTCCGCTTTGCCATGGGTGCCCCCGACAAGGAGCGTAGATTCATTCAAGCAGTGCGGCAAACCCAGGATCGACTAAAGCTCAAGTATCCCACGCTTTTTGCCTGGCATGGCAGTCCGCTGCAAAACTGGCATAGTATTATTCGAGAGGGACTCCATTTCAAGGAGACACATCACGGACGAGCCTATGGTCATGGAGTCTACCATGCGCCTGATGTGAGTACCAGTTTGAGTTACGCTAGCGTGCATACTGGCTTCATTTGGCCAATGAGCGAGTTGAAGGTCCAGCAGGCTTTGGCTCTCAATGAGATTGTAAACGCGCCACAGGAGTATGTAAGCCAGAGTCCGCATCTGGTTGTTGCCCAGCTTGATTGGATCCAGACTCGCTATCTCTTTGTAAAGACACTGCCTGACCCAACCGTCACTACGTCACCGGCGCCCATCGCGAAACCCCTAGAGTTTGTTGAGCAAGACCCAAGTCGCACTCCCCGTGGTGTTGATGGGCCGCTCATCGTCCCGATGCACGCCATTGCTGCAACACGTCGGCCCAGGGCGAAGATTTTGGTAAGGCAGGCAGAAGAAGGCACTGGAGCTTGGCTAACCCGCGTGCAGAAGCACAAGCGTCAAAAGGCGTCTGGAAAGTCTCAGTACGACCCCATAGATATCGATGACGACGATGTGGACAGTGTCGCGACGCTTGAAGAGGACCTTGTCATTTTCAATTCAGACGACGATTCCAGGCCGCACCATGGCGGGGGCCCTCTTCCTACACCAAGCTCAGTCAATGGGGACAAGGGCAAGTCAAAGATGTCAGCAATTGCATCATTTTCCTCAAAGATCTTTGGCAAGTCGCCGACGAAGCCTCTGACTGACTATGTCCCTGGAACCCTCGATTACTCAACACTTCCTATTCTTGAGCTGCCATCCTGGGCGACCACGTCTGCAACCAAGCGCTTAATGAAGGATTTCAAGGACATCATTCAGATCCAAAACAAGGAGCCGCTTCATGAGCTTGGCTGGCACATTGACGAAGACAAAATCGACAACATCTACCAATGGATTGTCGAACTCCATTCTTTCGATCCCGCCTTGCCGCTTGCACAGGACATGAAGAAGAAGAACATCAAAAGCATTGTTCTGGAGCTACGCTTTGGCAAAGATCATCCTATGAGCCCGCCGTTTGTTCGCGTCATTCGCCCTCGCTTCCTCGGCTTCAATCAAGGCGGAGGGGGCCACGTCACTGCTGGTGGTGCCATGTGCATGCAGCTCCTGACTAACGACGGCTGGAGTGCTGTTTCCTCGATCGAGTCCGTCCTCCTCCAGGTCCGCATGGCCATTTCCAGCACCGATCCAAAGCCTGCTCGTTTGCAGTCAGGTGGTCCGTCGGACTATGGCGTCGCTGAGGCAGTTGAGGCATACATCCGAGCCTGCAATGTACATGGGTGGACTATTCCTCAAGGATTCAAGGAGATGGCCTATGGTGGTTCAACGGGTAACACCCATGACCGCTAGATGAGTTCTTGAGGGTTGTGGAGTTATGGCCCTGGGTTCAAGATGAGGCGAGATCTTTTTGTTCCTTGATATCAGAGGCGTCTTGGGGATATGGGTGCATTGGGTGGCTTAGCATTGATACCTTTTGGTCGCATGACTGTCTGTATGCACGGTCAAGGCACACACATGGACTAGAAAACATTCTAATGAATACTTCTTTTCTGTGAGGGTTTCTCAATTGAATATATGGGTATCATTAACGAAAACAACCGTTGAAGCACTACATGGACTCTAGCCAGCTTCCAACGAGCCAAATGCCCGCACATCCAGCCAGGGCCGCAGCGCCATAAGCCTGCCTAGTCCAGCCCTGCTCCAAATCCACTTTCCAAGCGCCTTCTTTCCGTGCACTCTCGACTGGCTGCTGGCTGACATTGGCCACATTCTGATCGTGCGATTTGGCCGCTCTGAAAGCGCTCCCTGCCTCTCGTATCCAGCCCGTCTCGTTACGGCTGTCCACCTCGACATTCTGCACATTGCCAAAGAAGTCCATAACCTTTCTATTCCTCGCTTCCTGCTCTCCTCCCGCAAAGAGATCGTACCGGATACCGGGGTGACTGTGAATCTTTTCCTCGTCGTAGCTATCGAACAAGTCGCCCATTGTCAGTTTGCTCGTGGGGTCCTTGACCTGGTTCTCCAGGAACTCGAGGTTGTAGTACGTGTAGCGGTCGATGACGGCGACGCCGACGTCGTTGTCAGCGTGGTGCGAGTACGACGATTGATCGATTTCCGAGGATCCTGTCGCGAGGATGTTGGGGGAATAAAATTTCGAGTACATGGTGTTTGCCTGGCACGTGTCGATCATGAAGAGGATTTCGTGGTAGCTGGAATGTATGAGCGAGTGAAATTTGGTGGGAATGTAATGGCGATTGTCTTACCGTTTCTTCTCCCACATCTGGCCAAAGGCGTCGGCGAGATCAAAGGCGCTGATTTCCTCGGCGTCCTGGAACTTGAGGAATTCGTTGCCGCCGTGGCCAGTCATGTAGACGAGGATGTTGCTGCGCTCGTCCGTCATCAGGCGCTTGCTTCGTGGCATGTCCTCGCCCACGCGGTCCGTCATCAGCCGGATGAAGTTTTCGACCGTCACCTCGTACCCTCTGTAGTCGACCTCGATGTTGTCGCCGTACAAGTCGAGTGCGCGGTCGGCATTGTTGTAGACGGTTCCGGGGAAGGCGTTGCGCGGATTGCATGCCATGTCGTCGGGGAGCATGAGGATGATTTGAGAGTCTGGGATGCCCAGCCGCTTCACGGTGCGGTACACAGAAAGCACATTGGCAAGGTGGCGGTAGTTGAACCAGAAGCGCGACGTCGAGACGAGGACCGCCCAGTTGGATGTGTGTTCGCTGGCGGCAAAGGGTGCTGCGGCCAGCAAAGGCGCGAGTATCGTAGAAAACTTCATCGCTGCTATGGATGTTCTCTACCGGTGGTGACGACGATGCAAGCAGGGTGGCCTGGGGGGATCGATTGCGGGCCCTGACACTGACGCGCTCCAGGCTAAGGGAGTAGACCATGTCAATGTGGTGTTTGATTGGCGAATCTGACAAATTCGGAGATAAGCCGCGATTAACAATCCCGACTTTGTCACGTGGACGATCGTCTACGCTAGCCACCCGGCTTGCATCATGGCGTCCACATGCCCCGAGCACGCCATACCGTGCATGACAAGATGGTCTCGTAATTCCCTTCTTATCAGCTGGCGCGTATCCCCAGTCCGCTCTTTTCCCTTCTGTTTGCTTCCGACTTCACCGTGGCTGAGTCGATTGAACTCCAGCGCATTCAAAACATGGCGCCAGACAGGGGCTCCGCGTCGCTGCAGGATGAAAGAGCCGGACAGGGTCAAGAGACGGACGCGATGCTGGGTCGTAGCGCAACAGGCACGAGCGGGTATCTGGCTGAGCGGGCGTCGCAGCCACAGAACTTTACGCTTCGCGGTGTTTTGGTCGGCTTGGCAATCGGCGTGGTGATTTGCTTCTCCAATATGTATTTTGGGTTGCAGACGGGCTGGGTCAGCGGCATGTCTATGCCCTCGGCGCTCATTGGATTCGCATATTTCAAGGTCGTTGCCAGAACGCTCAAGCTGCCGTTTACGCCCGTCGAAAATGTCCTGATCCAATCCGTCGCGGGATCAGTCGGCACCATGCCTCTCGGATGCGGGTTTGTGGGCGTCATCCCGGCACTGAACTACCTGCTAAAACCGGAAGAGAATGGACCGCTCGACATTAGTCTCTGGAAGTTGATTGTCTGGGCTGTGGGCATCTGCTTTTTTGGCGTCGTCTTTGCGGTTCCGCTGAGGAAAGAGATGATCATCAGGGAGAAACTGAAGTTTCCGAGTGGGACCGCTACTGCACTTTTGATCAGGGTACTCCATGGAGATGAGAATTCGAAGAGCATGGTCGCTCGCCAGCAAGAGCAGTCTGATAATGGAGAGACTCAGGGGCTATTACAGGGGCCGAGCACGCAGCGGGAAGAGCATGACCTCATGCCATCCATCGACGACAACCTGAAGGAGCCCGAAGACGAGGGTGATTGGAAGGCAAAGATCCGGCTACTACTAATCTCTTTTGCTGGATCTGCTCTCTACACCGTCGTATCCTACTTTATTCCGCAACTGCACGACATTCCTGTTTTTGGTCTCACGCTGGCGCAGAAGTGGCTATGGACGTTGAACCCTTCACCAGCGTACGTCGGCCAAGGCATTATCATGGGGCCTGCAACGACACTGCACATGCTTTTGGGAGCCATCATCGGCTGGGGCATCCTCTCGCCGCTCGCAAAGCACAAAGGATGGGCTCCGGGGCCTGTCTCTGACTGGACAGACGGCTCGAAAGGGTGGATCGTGTGGATATCACTCGCCATCATGCTGGCAGATTCACTCGTCAGCCTAGGGTGGTTGATCCTGCGACCACTCATTACAATTGCCAGAGCATACTACCCATCTGCGCGAGAGCATTTCCAGTCTCATACCTGGAAAGAGATTCTTACGTTCAATATCACGTCCAACCAACAGTACACTCAAATTGGTCATGGTACAGACCCGTTGACATCTATCAAACAGCACCTCGCAGCAGACTCGGACCCCGATGCGCCGCCCGAGCATCTCATTTCCAACCGCACCACCATCATCGGGCTCGTCGTGTCCTTGGTTCTCTGCGCTATCGCCGTTCACGTGACATTCCCCGGCCTGATCCCCTTCCGCCTTACGCTGCTATCGCTGGTGCTTGCGCTCCTCCTTTCCATCATGGGAGTTCGCGCTCTGGGCGAGACAGACCTCAACCCTGTGTCTGGCATTTCCAAGCTCACCCAGCTCGTCTTTGCGCTCGTCACGCCAACCACCGGACCCGGAGCCAAGAATGCAGTCATTATCAACCTCGTTGCGGGCGCAGTCTCCGAGTCTGCGGCGCTGCAAGCTGGCGATCTCCTGCAAGATCTCAAGTGTGGTCACCTCCTGGGCGCGGCACCGAATGCACAGTTCTGGGGCCAGATGATTGGCTCAGCAGTCGGTGCCGTGGTGTCGGCGGTTGTATACAAGTTATATACAAACGTGTACACTATCCCTGGAGGACTGTTCGAGGTGCCAACAGGCTACGTGTGGGTCTTTACCGCGCGACTAGTGACGGGCAAGGGGCTCCCGCCCATGGTTAAAGAATGGGCGAGCGGAGCAGCCGTCATCTTCGCAGCCAGCACCATGATCAGGGTGTGGGGCAACAACCGCAAGCAGAGAGGTCTAAGCGGGTGGTGGATTGACTTTGTGCCCGGCGGGATTGCCGTGGCTGTCGGTATGTTCCTCCACTTGATTCAGTGTATTCTTCCTACTAACCCTCGTCCAGGCATGTACAATACGCCATCTTTCACACTTGCACGCACAATAGGGGGCCTCATTAGCTTGTGGTGGCGCCGCTGGAAGGGCAGGACCGAGACGCCTATTATCGTGCTTGCGAGTGGGCTGATCCTGGGTGAGGGGCTGTTTAGCATCATGAACCTCTTGTTGGCTAGCCTGAATGTGCCGCATTTGTAGCGTTTCGTGAGCACTGCCTGGGTAGATTATGGGAGCAGGAAACCCTGATTCATTTATGCATTCCCCTCAGATGCCGCCTATCAGCATGGCGTGGAATTTCACGTAGTATACCCATCATTTGTGAGTTGGTGCGCACAGTAAGCAGCATATGAGTTCCATTTACTATTATAAACAGACCTAATATAACCATCTCGGCCACTCATCTGGTATCGCTACAACAAGCCAATTCCATACCAAGCTATCTCCCTGCACATATCCTACCACAACAGGTCCTGGTCATCATCCAAGAGCCTATCCACCATCTCTCCGGCACCCATATCCATGGCGCTGTGTTCCTCTTGACCAGTCTGAGCAGGCACCCAGGTGCTCAGTTGACACTGCTCAGCGGGATAATGTAATGCAGCCCTGAACCTACAGGCCTTCGCTCCCTTGCCGCCGTTTGGTCCCGTGCACCCATCCTTCTGACACAGATGCCCATGGTCGCAGTTTTCCTTTCTGCAATCTCCTTTCTTCGAACATGGATTGCGCTTCACAATGTACAGGAGCACGTGTTTCGCCTCTGGCTCCAGATCGCTGTGGTCGAACGCACACGCAAACGTGGTGCAGTTGCCCTGGACGTGGAAAGCGTTGCAGATTTTCTGCCTCTGATACCGCGTGTTGTAGGCTTTCCATTCCGAGGCCGTCGGTGGCCTCACGTATACGTCGAGGCGCTGCAGCGACCTGTTCAGCGGAATGAAGCCTGGCATGCTTTCTTGCGGCAAGTACGCAGATACGTTGGTGCGGTCCATGGCAGCGGTCTTTGTGATGATTTCCGTGTCATCGACAGGCAGGGGGGATCCAGACAGTGATTTTGTCTCGGGGCTGTACAGTATATTCGAGCCGTTTACGCTGCCGTTTGAGCTGCAAGGGCCGTGCGAGAACTGGCATTTTTTGCCGAAATGGCAGAAGCCTTTTTTCTTGTATTTGCATGGCACCTGATCTTTGGTGGTGTCCCACTGGACGCTTTGCGGCGGTGGAGTGTACGACGGGTCGTTGTCCCATCTGACGGACTCTGGTTCGGCGTAGTCGGTTGATTCTACGGGTGAAGAGTCGCCAAAGGCCGAGTCGGTCACGCTGGTCGACTCGTTACGCCTCCACGATTCTTTGCGGATGTTCAACAGTTTTTCCGTGAGTAGGGGCTGCTGGGCTGGCGCTTTTGGCTTGGGCGAGGCGCTCGCTGCAGGTTTACTACTCGTCGCTGCAGGCTTACTACTAGTCGCTGATGCTGTGACGGGCAACCCCAACAACCTAAAAACGGTAGGGAACTGGGTCACCTTCAAGTTGAACTGGTAGAACTCGGGATCCCACCCAGCACCTTGGACGAGCGTAATCTTATCAAGGGCGCCAGTATAGGGTACCAATTGGGACATGTAGGCTTTGTCGCTGCAGGCCGCGTACAGAATGTGGCTACAGGCCGCATCATCAGCCGCCATCTTGAAATGTTCTGGAGGGTATGAGCAATTGTCATGATGTTGTTTTGATTGTCTGCACCTCTGATTTTGAACTTTGTTCCTTCGTCGTCCAGGGTATCGACAAAGTCAAAGAGACTCAGGGCACGTGTGAAAGCCGCCGTAAACGATGCTATAGATCGTTTTTCAAGCCCGGTCAACTTCATCTTCCCTAGCTGCAAGGACAAGTTGGTAAGATTGGCGTAAATGCGTACAATTACGCGTGCAGATGATGTCTGCGGTACGTTTTGCCGTAGATATTCCTCTACGGCGTCGTTGAGCTTGCGGGCAGCGCGCATACCGCCTTCTTCTTTTTCACTGATAAACTCATCGTTGAACTATATAGAGTTAGTGATGCCTGGTTACGGGGAGTGCAATGCTTACAATATAGTCGTTGCCATCGACTAGCATCAGGACATAGGGGTCCCGCAGCGTTGTCTTTGCGCCGGTGGAAGACCCTGCAAAAGGACTAGCACTCTCTTTGTCGTAGGCTTGTTTGAGTACCTTGTACTCGTGTATCAATTGGCCATGCTCCTTGATGAGATTCTGCATGGGGTTAGAGCGAAGTGGGGGCAGCAAGGACATCTCGGTCTTGTCATACCGCTAGATCACTCTGTCTGCGCTCGTCATCTAGCTTGAACTGCTCCAGATGCGAAGCGAGTGAGCCGATATCCCCATCCGCTAACATGGTGGTTGTGACGCGCCCCGTCCTATTGATGTATTATCGTAGATCCGCTTCGGGAGGGTACAGTAAGTAGCCGGCTGTTGGACCGAATACAGGTAATCAGATTACAATGAACGCGGGAGTACAATCTAGAGCAACTAGAAACTCGAATGCATTCATGCACAATAATAACAGACTATATTGATGGTTTTGATTTCGCCCCTCACGTGGGTGGGTCTGTGCGGGTCAAGGGCCTGGGCAAGCGTTAGCGGATGTGGGTTGAGCACGTGACTGCCAACTTCGCCCTCACCACAGGCCTGCGATAGACGAAACTGGGATCGGAAACGAGGATTCGAAAGCCTCGATCCTGATATATCTGAGTCCCTGCTATGCATTCATATATCCTAACCGCCTACCCACCCGCAGGCGAAATCATCCGATGCCCCGCAAACCCCCCAACACCTCCTGATTGTCTCATTCGAGTCCACCTTGATACTCGTAAGATTCAACGGCACAACCATCAATTGACTCTCCGTAAGTCTCAAGGTAGGGTCTATATCCATATCCCATAGACTATCCACCCTGAGGGTGCTCTTTGCGATAATTTCTTTCAAGTTTGAAGATCACTAGTATAAGTCATAGGAGCATGGTGGTAAATGTTGAAAAGCATTCAATTTCCAATCTCAAGTATCATCAAATTGTTTGATGTACATGAATGAAATATCGGATTCATGATATCCCCCTTGTGAACTTCCCGCAGAGAGCTCTGCTGATGCCATCTGAACTTTATTTACAAAAGGTCGGGTTGAGTTTTTTAGCGGCTCATGCATGTAACCGCTATAACAGCATGCTCAATTCCAGTAATCTGAAACTGACAACTGGATTTCATATTCTTCCCTGCTCCAGTCTCACAGCACTTCCAATGCGTACTCATGAGTTGCCCAAGAACCCTCTCAAAGCATTCTCGACTTGTTGGTCGTTGTAACCATGGCTCTGCACCTGCTGTGAATGCGTGCCTTGACCTTGGAATCCGTTACCTATGCTGTCCGTACGTGCGTTTGGTGGACCCAGTCGTGTAGCTGGAAAACCGCCATATGGAACGTATGAACTGTTAGACGGCTGCGAATAGGCATTTTGGGGTTGATGACCTTGAGCCAATGCCGCAGCCTTCTCCCTATCCCTCTTTTTCTGCTGCACAAGCGCACCCTTGACGCCGCGAAGATACTTCGTCGCTATGTCTACAAGTTCCTTCTTTTCTGGAGAGTTTTTCAGAGCCTCCAGCATTTCACGGACTTGAGTTTCAGACCTAATATGAGGGCACGTGCGAGCGTGGCCGTAGTGGGCTAGACCGCACAAGCCGCAATGTTCTACACCCGCGACTTTGAGATCGCAAGCACCTTGTGGATGGTTCTTATGGCAAGCCGGACAAATGTGAATGCCATGGGAGCCGTGTGTTGGATCGAGCGGATTGCGGATCGGCAAATGTGCGCGTTGGAATGGTTTGACTAATGACCTATTAGCCTTCCCTGTTTTTGGCGCTGTTTGTGTTGAAGCCGAGAGGTCAACAATGGAGGATGGTTCCTGGATACGTGAGGTACCTTTCCCTGGCGGACCATTGTACATCACAAATCCGCCTTTTGGTCTTGTGCTTGGTACCATGCGCGGAGTCTGCACAGGGAAAGAGACACCTGGGATCCTTGTGGGTTGAGGCTGGGGAAGAGGGGACGCACCTGCGTCATTGTGCTTGTATAGCGAAGGGTTGGCGATGTTCTTGGTACTATGACTGTCACGGTCAAGCTCTTGGGCAGCACTGTTCTGTTCAGGCTCGCCCTCGGTTCCCGACTCGCTGTCAACTTCCGACTCGGCTTGGAAGTCGGTGTCGCTTTCCGAACCTGTCTTCTCTTTGCGCTTTCTGCTCAGCTTCTTGAGAGGCGAGGGAGGAATACCGGATGCGTCATCTAAATGGTCTTCTCCAGCGATAGAGGCAATCTCGGCCTCTTTCTTCTCATTGGCGTAGTCGACAGCCTGTGACAAGTCAGTTCCCGTTGCTGTAGAGAGTAGGATGTAACATACTGCTTTGGCACGTCGACCTCTACCCATAGCCTCAGCTCGCGCAAGTGCTTCGGCAGCCGCTGCAGCCTGTCTCTCCTTCAAAATCTTATCCCAAACTCCAGGATCTGGAGCGTCCTCCTCTTCAACTATATCAAAGTCATCCTGTAACGCGCCCTTTTCGTTCACCCATATCCGTGCGAAGCCAAACTGTGACTCTGATGAATCATCCTCGCCTGTTTGTGTATTCTGAATCTGGCTACGATCTAGCAGCTTATCGATTGCTGCGTCGTCATAGCGTATTTCAGCATCTGCGTTGTCGTCTTTGAAGAGTTCTGCCGCGCCATACTTGAGTATTGACTCTACATCCTCGTCTTCGGGGTCTTCTCTATCCAAGTCCTGAACAACCACCTTGTCAAGAGCCATCTTCTTCTTTCCCATCTGCATAATCTTTTCTTCGACCGTGGCTCGGGTTGTGAGCTGAAGGCAAAGGACTTTATTCTTCTGGCCAATGCGATGAGCTCTAGCGATGGCCTGAAGATCCTGATGAGGGTTCCAGTCGGGATCCAGGATGATGACAGTGTCAGCAGTGGCAAGATTGATACCAACACCACCAGCGCGGGTGGAGAGAAGAAAGGCAAAAAGTGGAGAGTCGGGTGCATTAAACTGATCAATACGTTTTTGCTTCTCAAGCGAACCCATTGAGCCGTCTAATCGTTGATATGCAAGCTGCATTCCGTCCAGGAAGTCTTCGATGATGTTGAGCATGTCAAGAAACTGGCTAAAGATGAGTACTCGATGGCCGCGCTCCCGGAGTTTCGGCAGCAATATCTCTAGGAGACTGAGCTTGGCAGAGGCTTCGACAAGGTTACGATGAGACACAGCAGCAACATCGGTTCGCTCTTCAATCTCACGACTATAGACAAATGGATGGCAGAGACATTTGCGTAGCTGCATGAGGATATTGCTGAGATTGGCGCGCTCCTGCTGCTTCAGCTGCTTGTCGGTAGAAAAGAGTGCCTTTAGAAGCTCAGGTCTCTTTGACAAGATGGACTTGTACACTTGCTTCTGGAGGTGGCTCATGGAGATGGGGAGAATAATCTGACCTAGGGGTGGAAGGAAGGTGAGCACCTTGGCCTTGGTACGACGAAGGATAAAGGGGCGGATCTGGTCGTGAAGCTCCCTGATATTCTCTGCAGTCATCTCCGCATATTGCTCTTCAAGCTCAGCAGCATCGATCGAGTCGTCCAAGAAATGCAGCAGATTGAAAAGCTCTCGAGCGTTGTTTTGAAGAGGCGTACCGGTCAAAAGCAGTCGGAAAGGCGCGCGTACTGCAGTAAGAGCAGTGTACAGCTGACTCTTGTCGTTCTTCAGACGTTGACCTTCGTCGACAATAAGACCAGCCCAACTGACACTCCTAAAGAATCTTCTGCAACTGTCGTCGGCGGCCGCATCATAAGACGTCACGACAACGTGGCATCGTAGGTCCTTGGAATTTTCGGGGAACATCTCATACTTGTAGGCCATTTCGCGAGCTTTGGCTGAGCCAAAGTATGCGACAACACGCAGAGACGGTGCCCACTGTTTGATCTCCCGCCGCCAGTTGGCACAAGTAGAGTTTGGCACAACAATGAGGAAGGGAAAGCAGCCATGCTCTTGCACAAGTGTTGCCATAAAGGCTATGACCTGGATTGTCTTGCCGAGACCCATTTCATCAGCAAGGATGGCATTCTTCTGATCAAACCATTTGTAGTAGAGCCAGTTGAGCCCTTCCAGTTGGTACTTCATCAGCTCGCCGCCTACAAGGTTTTCTGGCTGTTTCTCTCGCTCTAGCTTGGCAAACGGTGTGCTACGGAGCTTGTCGAGGCGGGCCTTGAGAGGCCCCTGTTTGGGGCACTTGACGTAACGGCCCGCGACCCAGTCGTTGTACGCTGTGACAAAGTCCAGCCATCGATCGCCGTCTTCGGGCGTAGGTACACTCTCCCAAACTGCGTCTTCGTATCCAAGACCTTTGTACTTGATGAGAGCCTTGTCAACCTCTTTGATGCGAGCTTTGTCAATCTCTTCGCTCCGGACGTCCACAAAGCTGGTGTACTTGATCTCGAGCACAATGTCGATGCGAAGAAACTCCTCAGGAATGGCGTCTTCCGTGTGCATCTTCGGTCCATCCTCCCGTTTGAAGAAGGCTCTCCGCTGGACTCCCGCAGTAACGCCCCAGGTCCAGGCTCCAGAGTGCCATGCTGCCCGGAAGTAAGACTCGTTTTCCCATTTGATTAGGTACTGCTTGTCGTCTTCACAGATTAACTCGCAAGGAGTACCTGGTCGATACGACTCCACATCCGACGGGCGCCAGGCAACGATGCCACCAACCTTGCGGTCATTGCTTTCGTCGCACTCTTTACAGAGCCACTTTCTCGAGTACTCGCGAAAGCGCTCTTCCGCCAGCTCCTCGTCATCGCGGTTGACTTCCATGGCATATGGTGATAGCGGTGGCAGGTGATGGTAATGCCATGCTCGAGAGCATTTCGTGCATCGAAACATGACATTGTTAGGGTTGTTGACCAGTTCAGAGGGGACATCGACAACAGGATCGTAGCCGTCGTTTTCTTCGCGCTCCTTCATTTCTTGCTGAGTGGTTTTACGGCCCCTAAAAGGTCGACACGAGGCGCCAGATGTTGCACAGTCCTGGCACCTGGACAGGTCTGGCGCAGTCGCATCCTTCTTCTTGTAGACGTTGATGCACCGCTTGCACTGCAAAACAAAGTCGTCATCGCCAATCTTTGTAACGAGGTGGTCGCGAGTAGATCGATTACCAAGGCAATTCTTGTGATACGCGCACGAACATCCTTGGCAGTAGACCAAAGGCGCCACGTTGGGTCCATCAAAACACACTTCACAGCCCTCTGCGTGACGTGCACGAAAGGGGTTGCCTCTGGGAAGTTTTGAAAACACCTCGCGAACGACAGAAACCTTCTGGGCAGCTGCTTTTGGCGCCGAGTCTGATCGATAGATATCATCCATGTCTGCTTCCTGCATGTTGTTCGTAGCGCGTGTCGCTCGATCAGACTGTCGCACGCCCATTCGGCGAATCTTTTCAGGCTTCTCGGTACGCAATGATTGTCGTTTGCGCTTGCGACCAGGTCCCAGATTCGAGCGCAGAATTTCTGAGGCGCTCAAGTCGTCTGTATCCTCGTCCTCGTCTTCGTCGTCTTCCTCATATACCTGTACTGGCATTGACTGTCTCGCTGAACGGCGCGTGGGCTCCCGTGTTCCTTTGCGCTTCCGGCCTCTCCGCTTATTGCTAGCCATGTCCGAGTCTTCGTCGCTCGTAGACAGCGCAGCCAAGGAACGGGTCGACGATTGGTTTGAGCGACTACCACGCTTCAATGTACGTACGCGACGATTACGTCGCTGTGCGCCTGAAGCCATTGCAGATTCATCTTGACTATCGTCTTCCGATGAAGAGAGAGGGAACGTCGAGATGTCCACATAGTCCTTCTTTGTAGCTTTTGAAGATCTCTCTCGTAGTTTCATATCGCCGTCTTCGCTCGATGTTGCGCTGGGCTCGTCGTCTGGTTGGAATGCCTCCAACGCTTCTGGGCCGCCAGGAAGCTCAAGCAGTTGTTCAAAGGAAATCTGAGTGTATTTAGCAAGACAGTAGTATAGTGATGTGAGAGAGAAGCGACAAGGTAGGATCGGCGCTCGTATGGTGATAACCGATGCAGCCACCACCTTTACCTATGAGAGATACTATTACTAGAGTTGAACTGACCTGCTTCACTTGCTTCCCAACCAACCGGACCTGGTATGACATGTCTCCATTACCCTCGGAGAATTCCCGCATAATGTATTCAACCTCATCTTTCGGCTCGTAGTATGTGTAGTCGGCCCTGTTGATCGTGGCTGGTGGTATACGCACACACAGCAGCTTTCGCGTTGTTGTTGCCGTCTGGATATGTATAATGGATTCATCCTTGGAGGAAGAGGCATGGTGGGAGGGCTGCGCTTCAGGCTGTGTCGGAGATGCATTGGATTTGGGCTTAGCAGCGCCCTTCTTGAAAGCGGCCATGAGCGCCGCAGTATCCTCGTCGCTACTCATGTTCACGTATATTTTATCCTAGCGGCCGAGCGGTGCGCAAGTGGGACTGCTGAAAGAGGGTGCGGAATGAGTCTGGTAACCGTAAGCTGCAATGGATGGAAGGGTGCGCGGAGTGGAGGCCTTGTGGTCGGCCGCTGAAAGAGATTGCACGACGTGTCTTTTGGAGAAAGCAAGAGAGGCAATAGTGTGGTATTGCGTGGTAGCTGAGTGGGGGAACCAGAAGAGCGCATAGACGCGCGTTCGTGGTGGTGGAATCTCAGTGGATGAGAACGCGGAGTTAGGCTTAACCCCAACGCGCAATCACGCGTTACGCGATTATCTTACTACAGTGCCCGTGCACCAGATGAGCACCATCGCCAGTTGAGCACCCCCAACAACTCAATATAGTCAACAAGATGAGGCTGTAGAGCCACCACAAATCGTAATAAAATTGCGCAAAGCTAGGATTATACTATATACAGGCCTACAAAAGTTTTGGCTTATTCAGAAATTTTTTTGGAGGGCGTTATCGGTCGTTGCCGTCGACTACGCGGTGGAGCAGCTCGTGCAACCCTTGCGGCTCCCACCACAGCTGGAGCAACACCACCACACTTTTGACGCTTTGTAGCTGGCTTATGAGGTTTTGACGCTTTGCGCTTACCCGATTGGGGCAATTGTATAGCTTTGGCAGCGTCGCGGAGGCTTCTACGATGCTCTCTTTCGGCTTTCTCTGCAGCCTTCCGCTTTCTGGTCTCCTCCCAACCCTTCTCCCGCTCAACACGGGCTGCTTTTTGAAGTTGAAGCTGGCAATCGCGAGCTGCCTTCTTGATCTCGGCTTGCTCGGCTTTTTGAAGCTTTTCAAGCTCGGCTTGTTGTTGTTGTTGTATCTTGTTATCCTGAACTCGTTTGACGCTTGTTGGTGACCACCAAACAGCTCCACCATGATACTCAGGATGATCCTCAAGCTGTAGGGTATAGGATTTGGTTCCC